TGAAAGTAAAACATCTTAATCTGCGCCTTTGGTTTGCATGAAGAATGTTTAACATCCATGGAATCTGTCCATTGTCGATAAAGGTTTTGAATTGTGATCTTAGACTACAAAACCAGTCAAAAAAGTGTCCCCTTTTGAAATTGAGATGAATAAATCACTTGGAAACCGAATAAATAGGCTTTCCATTAATGTATTTGTTATGACACGACAATATTTAGCAGAGATACGATCATTTGATCTTCTGAGGATTCAAGAAAATTGAGAAAATCGCCTTTAAAGTGCTTAGAAATGCATATTACTAATCAAAAATTGAGTTTTAATATATTTACAGTAGCACATTTACAAAATATCTTTACATTCTAATCATTTTTGGCTTAAAGGATGTATAAATGTACTTTTGGCTGATGTGCACGACACATTAAAAGTACATAATAGTTCTGTTGGAGTTACTTTGAACATTGTATGCGTTTATATTAAGGGTTGCTAATGAAATGCTTGATTCTGATTGGCTGATAAGCATTCTAAAGTCTGTGATAACTTTCAGATAAAAGCTAAAGTAGTTCCGGCAGGTTTTTGCATTACAGTTCTACATCACTACGCTGAATTATTTCAGAGCCGACATGGTCAAACATAACATCAAAACAAAACTAATTCAAACTACACTATAAACAGTTTCCTGTAAAATCTACAGTAACTTACCAACAACAGTTCACCTGTAACTTACTGTAACTCAATTACAGCAAAGATACTGTAATTACATTTAAAGCAACATTTATCTTACTGTATGTGTATTCACAGGATTGTATGTATATCTATAGTGTAAAATATACAGTAATTTTCACAATGCAACTAAATTAAAATACAGTAACAAACTGCATAACTGTCCTACAGTAAAATAAAGTTTATATTACAGCTAATTACTGTGTAATTTACAATAAGTCATTAAAACACTGTTAACAGTTTGCTGTAAAATCTACAGTAACTTACTGGCAGCAGTTTGTCAGTAATTTACTGTAAATCAATAACCACAAAAATACTGTAATTAAATTTACAGCACAACTTATCTTGTACAAAATACACAGTTGTATGTATATCTTTACTGTAATTATACAGTCCTTTTTACATTTTACAATGCAACTTTAAAATACAGTAACATATTGCAAAACTTTACTACAGTAAAATGCAGTTCATATTACAGCTAAATACTGTCATTTACAATAAATCGTCAACACACTGGTAACAGTTTCCTGTAAAATCTACAGTAACTTACTGGCAGCAGCTCACCAGTAACTAACTGTAAAATACTGTAATTACATTTACAGCAGCATTTATCTTGCTGTATATGTATTTACAGTATTGTAAATCTTTGCTGTAAAATATACAGTAATTTTTACAATGCAACTCTTAAATACAGTAACATACTGCATAACTGTCCTACAGTAATATACAGTTTATATTACAGTTAAATACTGTAAATATACAGTAACTTACTGACAGCAGTTCATCAGTAATTTACTGTAAATCAATTACAGCAAAAATACTGTATTTACATTTAGAGCACAATTTATCTTGCTGTATATGCATCTACAGAACTTTATTGTATATCTTTGCTGTAAAATATACAGTAATTTTCACAATGCAACTTTAAAGTAACATACAGCAAAACTTAGCTACAGTAAAACACAGTTCATATTACAGTTAAAGACTGTGTAATTTACAAAAATTCACGTTAATAAAACGTTAACCCCCTCTGTTGTGGTTTGATGAGATTCTGACTTTTCTAGCCGTGAAATAACTCAAATCATTCAGTGTGGTGATATTGAGCTATAATACACTCAAAACTTGCCGGAACTACTTTAGCTGTGCGTTTATCTGGAAATAACCACACGCCTCAGAACGTTCCTCAGCCAATCAGAGTCAAGCATTCAACAGTCCCACGATATAAGCAAATATGACAGACAGGCCGGATATTTCTAGAGCTGACAAAAAGCAAGTCTCTGATGAGGTGAAGCCAAACATTGATGAATGTTGGCACAGATGGAGGAGTTAACAGAGGTTTTCATGGCCCGCGGACATCCGTGACCGAATCAGTCAGAATGGTCATTTAGCTGGAGCCAGCGATAGGAGAAAAAGAAAGCTGGTGAGGGTCCAAAATCAACATTTCTGACACTGTCTTTTAGTTTAGATGAGCACTCAGAAAAAAAAAACAGGAGAATGAGAGAATGCTTTGAGTCCAGAGAGGTTGCAAAGGGTTTGTTGAGGTTTACTGTAGGGCGGCAGACATATTTGTCATTTCCAGACCAAAACACTGGGAAGATTGATCGGTTTGCCTTCATTTAGCGGCTATAGATTACTCTACTGTAAATGCCCGACACATTGTTTCACATACAGAACTTAAACAATCGTTAAAAGTTAATGAATGGCATATTAATATGTCAGGTAAACCAAAATATTCAGCCTTTCAGCTGAGTTTCTTTTTTTTGCGTCTTCAAGGAGGATAATTATGGCTGTATAATGTTTAAATATGGCGACACGGTGGCTCAGTGGTTTGTACTGTCACCTCAATGCAAGAAGGTCGCTGGTTTGAGCCCATGCAGGGTCAGTTGGCATTTCTGTGTGGAGTTTGCATGTTCTCACTGTGTTGTTGTGGGTTTCCTCTACAGTCCAAACACATGCGCTATAGGGGAATTGAATAAGCTAAATTGGCCGTAGTGTGTGTGTGTATGTGAATGAGGATGTATGGGTGTTTCCCAGTGCTGGGTTGCAGCTGGAAGGGTATCAGCTGTGTAAAACATGCTGGAATAGTTGGCGGTTCATTCCGCTGTGGCAATCTCAGATTAATAAAGAGACTAAGAAAATGGGAAAACTGAATAAATGAGTTGGCGGTTCATTCCGCTGTGGAATAAACTAACTAAGCTAAAGGAAAATGAATGTTTAAATACACATATTATAAAGATTTTCATATATACATTCAGTTCAGGTGAATTAATGGTGATCTCGAGCGAAGGCGTGCGGACAGAAATGGATGTGGTGTTGTAAGATGTTGCATATAAGCGCAAACCTTTCTGCCTCATCATTCATTATGGGGCAAACTTCAGACTGAAATGAGGGCATGTAAAGCTCGGCGTGAAAAGAAAAGTCTAACTGTGCTGAGCGCTGCAGCTGGAAGTATTTTAATGGCTTGTCAGCACCTCTTTCACAGAGCTGTGAGCGAGCAAAACTACTCAAATGCATAGAAACAGCCTGAAACGCCTTCCTAAGAGCTTACATTTACAGTTACATCCCTGAAATAATGTAGTGCTTTATGATATATTAGGTTTAAAACTGCTAAATGATGACATTTAATTGGTTTATTTGTAAAAGCATTATATTTTGGAGAATTTGGAGGACATTCCTGAGATGGCACATATACATACACTCAATTTTTTGTTGTTGTTCCTTGTTCAAACAACTAATTCATTCATTTTCCATCAGCCTAGTCCCTTTATCTATTAGGGGTCGCCACCAAGGAATGAACCGCCAACTATTCCAGCATATGTTTTACACAGCGGATGCCCTTCCAGCTGCAACCCAGTACTGGGAAACATCCATACACACTCATTCACACACATACACTATGGCCAATGTAGCTTACAACTAATTCAATTCAATTCAATAATTCAATTTAAGCTAAAAAAAACACAATTATTAAGATTTTGTTGCGACAACTTAATATTGTTAGTGTTCAATCAACTTAACTCAATCGATTTGTTTTGAGACAACATTTCATTTTTCTTCAGTTTAGTCCCTTTAATCATCAGGGGTTGCCACAGCGGAATGAACCACCAACTTATCCAGCATATGTTTTACACAGCGGATGCCCTTTCAGCTGCAACCTAGTACTGGGAAACACCTATACACACTCACTATGGCCAATTTAGTTTGGGCAATTTCCCTATAGCGTACGTCTTGTGGGGGAAACAGGAGCACCAAGGAAATCTTGTCACATTGTATACATATTTAATTATTTATTTATATTTAATACATGCTTTTATACTTTATTTTATTCTTATTGAAGAGAACAATTTTTAAGCTTTTACAAAATAAAGGTTTTTTATTAGTATTATGAATGATTACAATAAAAAAATAACTATATTACAATCTTTTTTACACCAAGAAAATAATTGTTCTTTTAAGAACTGTTTAGTGACAGTTTGTATTGCATCATTGCATAAAAATATCATGTTTTTTTATTATTATTTATGGAACCATAAGTGCCAGTGGAGAACTAAAATTTTTGTAAATACGTCTAAATGCATGCAAAAAAATATGCAAACTAATTACACAGCATGTATTTTAACAAGTATGTATATATATATATATATATATATATATATATATATATATATATATATATATATATATATATATATATATATAATGTGTTCTCTAACGGAACTTATGGCTTTATGAATGATAATAAAAAAAATCTTCAATTTTAAAAGCGTTCTTTATATATTTTTCTCACGTTTTTAAGTGGTTATGCAATGATGCAATAAAACTCTTTCAGTAAACAGCTCTTAAAAGAACGATTATTTTGCATTTTATTTTGCCACGACTGAATTGAAATGTTTATTATTATTATTATTAAGAATTTTTAAGCATACCTAAATGTTAAAATGTAAACTGTGTAATGCAATAAGAGATGAATGCGTGCATTTCATACATGCGCACACGAAACTCAAACACTACAGATGTGTGTGTGTGTGTGTGTGTGTGTGTGTGTGTGTGTGTGTGTGTGTGTGTGTGTTCGTGCTTTCAGGATGCTTTTTTTTGCGTTCAGCATGATGCTTTATAAGCTTCTCGTTGGCTTCGCGTCATCATCATCTGTCATCGCTTCAGCAGAGAAACAAGTGTATGAGCTGCAGCCAACCGCTCCACATCACTCGCACACACTCATTCGCCTGCGTTGGCTTTTAAAGGAGAGTTTGCATTCATTTTGCGAAGGATAACCCGTGAATATGGCATCGGTTTGTGCGGTGGCGCGCGTTTTGCTCTGTTTGAACGTCGTCAAAGTTTACTTGGTGAGCTCGGAGCTGAACGGAGATATTCCCGCAGAAGAGCCCACCATCCACAGCCCTGCTCGAGATATGATGACGGTTCATATGTACAGAGTTTATGATAAATACAGCAAGAAGCAGCAGCAGCATCAACAGCAACTCAATGTGAACACAATACGAAGCTTTAGAGGAGTTCCAGGTGAGTGAAAGTAAAAAAAAAGGAGTAATTTACAAACTGTGCGACTGATATACTGTAAATAAACACTGTAAATGTGGTGAGTTAATATCTTAAGATATATTAATTAACTTTGTTTAACGACTTGATTTCTATTTAATTACTTGCACCCCAAATGAAAACACTAATGTAAATATAGTGTTTTTAAACCTTATACTGTCTTTAAAACGTTATTTAATCGACTTTAATCGTTTATATTTAATTACTTACACCCCACTTGAAAAAAAAACTATAGTAATGTTGAGTAAATACTATGTTTTTGAACCATACTATAGCGAATACTTTCCCAGTATGGGGTTGCAGCTGGAAGAGCATCCGCTGTGTAAAACATATGCTTGAATAGTTGGTGGTTCATTCAGCTGTGGAAGCTGAAGGAAAATGAACGAATGACAATAGTGAATACTTCTTGTGGTAATTCTATTGGGAACACAATAGTAAAATATAAACAAATTACCCCAAAATGTAGTTTTCGACAAATATTGGATATCTTATACTACAATACAGCAGTTCACTGTGGTAAAACTAAAGTATACTACAATATTATCAGTTAACTGTAGTTAATTAATAGTATTCTCTAGCATTTATTAACAGAGTTGTCAACACTATAATATATACAGTGTAAAACACTTATACACTAGAATATTTTTTTATAAATCACTATAGTATTTTTTTCATGTGGGTATATATATATATTTTAATATTAAGTTAGATTTAGGTTGTGATATCAGGTGACCAAAATTCAATGTCTAGTCAGCATCTAAGGACGTTATTTTGACGTCCAATAATGGCATCAAATGATGTTGATATTTGGTTGATTTTAGGTTGTGTTGGAAATTGACAAAATCCAACGTCGAGCCAACATCTTAATCTAACGTCATATTGACGTCAAATACTGACATTTATTCATCAAGTAAGCAACCAAAATCCAACGTCTGATAGACATCACAGTGGTAACATCCACACAATGTCAAGCTGTAGCGTCATTAAACGTTGATAGTTGGTTGATTTTAGGTTGTGTTGGAAAGTGACCAAAATCCAGCGTCGAGTCAACATCTTAAACCAACGTCATATTGACGTCAAATACTGGCATTTATTCGACTGGTATGGCAAATGAAATCCAACGTCTAATAGACGTCATAGTGGTAAAGTCCACACAACCTCAAGCTGTAACATCATTACACGTTGATATTTGGTTTATTTTAGGTTGTGGAAAGTAACCGATATCCAACGTTGAGCCAACGTCTAAATCCAACGTCATACTGACCACAAATACTGGCATTTATTCGTCAGGTATGGCAATCAAAATCCAACGTCTGATAGACGTCATAGTGCTAATGTCCACACAACGTCAAGCTGTACCATCATTACACGTTGATATTTGGTTGATTTTAGATTGGACGTCTGACACTGACGTCAGCCTGACGTTTATTTGGCAAACAAAATGCAACGTCCCCACGACGATGGGGTACAACCAGGGTGCGAATTACAGGGGTGTTAGGGGGGGTCTGGTCCCCCTAATTAACGAAAATCAAATGTATAGAGGTGTTTGCTCTGATCTGTATCTAAAATAATATTAATAATTAAACTATTGAATTATAAATATACTTTTAACTACTCTATAATGGTTCATACCATTTACAATGCCCAATTGCGCCAATCAGTCTATACGAAACTGCAGTCTGAAACTGCAGATCAAGAGACATAAGTGTCCGCAAGACACTTAAAATAGGTGTTTGTATCTACGTACTGTATATTTTAAAAGTAATGTCAAATTAGATGCATAGTTTGACCTACAGGAACTTCTAAAATAGCTAATCAGAGGTAACTACGTCAAAATATGCTAAATATCCTCAAAACATTCATTTTCTTGTTGGCTTAGTTCCTTTATTAGTAAGGGGTCGCCACAGCGGAATGAACCGTCAACTTATCCAGTAAGTTTTTACGCAGCGCATGCAGTTCCAGCCGCAACCCATCTCTGCGAAAATCCTCAAAACACTGAAAACTCAAATACAGTATGTTTGATTAATAGATTAGATGTTATTTAAACAAATACATACATTTCATTCACTGAATTACAGAAACTAACACAAACTTATGCAAAAGGTTGATCTTCCGAATCGTCAACAAACAACTGAAGTCAGAATTATTATATCTTCTGAATTATTCGCCCCCCTGTTTATTTTCCTAATTTCTGTTTAACGGAGAGAACATATTTCTGAACATTATAGTTTTACTATAACTCACTTATAATAATTGATTCATTTTATCTTTACCATAAAGACAGTAAATAATATTAGACTAGATATTCTTCAAGACACTTCTATACTGCTTAAAGTGACATTTAAAGGCTTAACTAGGTTAACTGGGCAGGTTAGGGTAATTAGGCAAGTTATTGAATAACGATGGTTTGTTCTGTAGACTATCGAAAAAATAAATAGCTTAAAGGGGCTAATATATTTTACCTTAAAATGCGTTTAAAAAATTTAAAACTGCTTTTATTTTAGCCGAAATAAAACATATAAGACTTTCTCTAGAAGAAAAAATATTATTAGACATACTGTGAAAATTTTCTGAATCTGTTTAACATCATTTAGGAGATATTTAAAAAAGAAAAAAATGTAAAGGGGAGCTAATAATTCTGACTTCAACTGTATAATGGGTACATGTCAATCTGACGTCTTGTGCTTGCTGGGAAATATATAACAGCCAGTATGTATATTTAAAAATAATATTCTGTAAAAATGTAAAAATTATTTAAAAAAAATAATAATAAAATCAAGTCATTATATATGCATGTTATTAGTAAAGTTTTGTGATATACAACTAAAAACATTCAAATCCAGCTTTGGAATATTTATTAAAATATTTTAAACAACAAAAATTGCTGCTTTTTCAAGCTACAAAATTAAAATGAGTTGAAAAAACACAATGATAAGTATTTTTATAAGGACAATGTGATTGTTTTATGTTAAATCCACATAAATTTGTAATCAATTTAACAAAATCTATTTTTGCTGGGACAACATGAAGGAATTGTGTTGAACCCAGCATTTTAAGTCTATTAAATGTGACTGCAAAGGTGAATACTTGCTCAAAATAATCATTTTACCCATTATTTCAGTTTTAGTGGTCGTATTTTTAGAGCTGCTAAGTTTCCACTGGAGGTGCGCTATTAAAACACTGGGAGAGTATTAGTGGAAACCGAAAAAAAGGGAAAGAAAGAAACCCTGAGAGCCGCTCACTAAACACTACCATATGGCTGAAGACTGATTCGGGAGCAGTGTTTATCTTTTTATTAAACTGCCTCGTAAAAGCATAGAATGTGGTCGGATATTAAACCTAGAATGAGAAAAATGTGTTGTTTATGAGGATGCCGTCTGGAAACTTTACTGGTCAATCACATGCATGCATGAGCGTAAATCCAATGTAATATCGACAAGCAGTAACCACGTTTAAAACGTTTTTTTGTTTCAAAGCTTGTTGGATTTTGACTTGAAATCTTTTTTTATAATTATATACAGCTGAAGTCAGAATTATTAGCCTTCCTGTATATTTTTTTGTCCCAATGTCTGTTAAGGAAATAATTTTTTCAACACATTTCTAATCATAATAGTTTGAATAACTCATTTCTAATAACTGATTTCTTTTATCTTTGCCATGATGACAGCACAGAATATTTGACTAGATATTCCAGCCTGATCTCACGAGAAAACGCAAGTATTTTACGTTTTGGCAATTTAGTGGCAAAGTCAGAGTTCAGTCGTAAGAAAATGTACGATTTTAAAAAGGAGGCGTGGCACCTAACCCCACCCCTAAACCCAACCGTCATTGGGGGATGAGCAAATCGTACTAAAATGTACGAATTAGATCGTACGAATTTGTACGAATTAGCCACTAAATGAAAAAGTTACGAATTGCCGTGAGATTGTGTTGGATATTCCTCAAGATTCTAGTGTTCAGCTTAAAGTGACATTTAAAGGCTTAACTAGGTTAATTAGGGTAATTAGGCAAGTCATTGTATAATGATGGTTTGTTCTGTAAACAACTGAAAACAAATATTGCTTAGAGGCTAATAATACTGACCTTAAAATGATTTTAAAAAATTAAGAACTGCTTTTATTCTAGCCGAAATAAAACAAATAAGAAAAACTATTATAGGAAATACCAGCCTGATCTCACGAGGAAACGTAAGTATTTTACGTTTTGTCAGTTTAGTGGCCAATTCGTACAAATTCGTACAAGTTCAGTCGTACGAAAATGTACGATTTTAAAAAGGAGGTGTGGCACCCAACCCAGCCCCTAAACCCAACCGTCATTGGGGGGATGAGCAAATCGTACTAAATTGTACGAATTAGAACGTACGAATTCATACGAATTAACCACTAAATCAAAAAGTTACGAATTGCCCTGAGATTGCGTTTGAAATACTGTGAAAAATTCCTGAATCTGTTCAACATCGTTTGGGAAAATTTGAAAAAGACAAAAAAAACTCCACAGGAGGGGGAATTATTCTGACTTCAACTGTATATTTTTGTATTCACTCTCTGTTTGTTTTGACTTGTGTATTGTCTTATTTACATACTAAATGGTTATTGAGATGGCAACTAGCTCTATGTAATTCTCCCATGGTCACCCAATGAAGCTAAGCAAAGCTGCGCCAGCCTAATCTCACGAGGAAACGTATATTTTACGTTTTGTGTACGAATGTGTACGAGTTCAGTCGTATGAAATTGTACGATTTTAAAAAGGAGGCGTGGCACCTAACCCCACCCCTAACCCCAACCATCATTGGGGGATGAGCAAATCGTACTAAATTGTACGAATTAGATTGTACGGATTCATGCAAATTAGCCACTAATTCAAAAAAGGAGGCGTTGCACCCAACCCAACCCCAACCGTCATTGGGGGGGGGGGGGTGAGCAAATCGTACTAAATTGTACGAATTAGATTGTACGAATTTATACGAATTAGCCACTAAATCAAAAAGTTATGAATTGCAGTGAAATTGTGTTGGCTGCACCGGTCAGGACCTGGATGGTGGACCACATGGGAAAGCTTGGTTGCTGCCGAAAGTGGTGTTAGTGAGGCCAGCAACCTCAACCAGTGGCCTGTGTGGGTCCTAACGCCCCAGTATATTGATGGGGGACACTATACTATCAGTGGGCTCCGTTTTTTGTATGAGAAGTTAAACCGAGGTCCTGACTCTCTTTGTTTGTTAAAAATCCCAGGATGTCCTTTAAAAAGGAAACCCAGAAAAGCGCTATATAAATGTAACGAATTATTATTATTATTATTATTATTAAAAAAAAAAGAGCAGGGGCTTAAGGCCGGCATCCTGGCCAAACCTGCCCACTGGCCTCCTAACCATCCCCATATCACAATTCATCACTCATTCCGCTCTTCTTTTAGATTTTTTCAATTATATTTGGCTAGATCAAGAAATCTTTAAAGGGAACCTATTTTACCCCTTTTACAAGATGTAAAATAAGCCTTTGGTGTCTCCAGAATTTGTCTGTAAAGTTTTAGCTCAAAATACTCAACATGATTATTTATTGTAGCCTCCAGAATCTCCCACTTCCGTGTCTGCTACTTATCATGCATTACGTCAGATAATTAGCAGTCAGTGACAGACAGACTCGGATAAAGCTGAAATACAGCTCATTAGTCTGAAATACCAAGTAAGTTTATCCCAAGTATTTGTGCTCAAGTCTATTCAAGTCTTTCTGAAATGACGAGTCACACACAAATGTCATTTGCACAACACACACACAAATACACACACATATATTAGCGGTGGTTCAAATTCGACTGTTAAAATTCGACATTACATCCGGGAACTGCAGGAAAAGCAATTGATTGCAGATTGAAGATCGCCAGCTGCTTTTTCACCAGCAGGTGGAGATGGAATAATTTAAGATTTTTAACCCAGTAAATAGGAAAGAAAAAAGCTAATAAAGGCACAAAAGTAGCATTTAAAATTAATATCAATCTCTTGGATATTATAAGTAATAAAATGCCACTTGGAAGCGAATGTTTGAACTGAAATAAAATGAACTGAAAACTGCCTTTTGAATATTATATCTCGTATTTTTAAAGGGTATTGAAAATTTTGCAAGTGAAATCTGGAAATTAAATATGAATTATTGAATTTATAAGTATTAAAACGTGTTTGGAATATTATTAGTTGAAATATTCACAGCTTAAATAAACAGCTATGTTAAACTTCAGGACCTAAAAATACAAAACCTGATATTCAAGTCATTAAAATGCAAGAACTTGTTAATTGCGTGTGTTATTTGTTTTCAGTTTGTGCTATTCAACAAGCTTTTTAATTCAATACTTTTGGCATTGATTTTGTTCCATACATGTGGCCACTGTGATTATAGCGTTTAAGAATTACAGCGATTATTACAAACATGCTCTGTTTTTAAAAGAGTTTTAAACTTATCAAAATCACAGAGAGATGAACAGATATTTCACTCTCAGTTTATTTGCAGAAACATGTTCTATGGACGAGTGTATGAGTGTTATCATAGATACATGGCGCCTCTCAATCATTTGGTGGGTGGGGAAAACTTCACTTCCACATCACGTTGCGCTGGGCCTCAAAATCACTGGGATTTAGATCTTATTTTAACGTCAGGAAATTTAAAAGCAAAGAGACTTCTTGTGTTTCTAGCACTTCAATATGACTGTGGACACACTATACCTACACACACTTCTGCAAACAGGATGATTTTCAAGCGCCCTTTAAGATATTTCTAGACGCACGAACACTGACGCGTTTCATTTTTTCCAGAGCTCTCCCATCACAAGGTGGTGTTCCACTTCAACCTGACCTCCGTTCCCGATTCGGAGATGATACTGACGTCAAATCTGCATTATCCTGACCAACAATCTCGCCCTCGTTCTTGGGCCTGCCAGCGTTCCCGAAGATCCTCCTGCCGCCTTCAATACCTTCAAACAACCACTCCACGTCTAATCATCAAAGCATCATCAGCCAACGCCGCCGTCCCAACTCAACTCAGCAACATCACATTACCGCCAAACAGAAAAACACTTTGGCAGACTGCAGATGTATCCTCAGCTATGAAGCAAGCTCATGCGAACGCCGAGCTCTTAATCAGTATTGAGTTTGACTTTGGTCACCACAAACGACAAGAGCATTTACCTCCTCACAACATGCCGTTCATTCTTGTGTACGCTGACGATATTGATATTACAGAACCGAATAGTGTTGCTGGAAGTCTTCAGAGATACAGTCCATCTCCTGTTGACAGCAAAGCATCTCCCTTAACATCCAGAATCAGGAGAGAAGTCGGTCATTTAAAGGAGAATCAGGTTCCTGGTGTGCGGTACATTGATCTTAAGAGCGGGGGGTTATGGGATGGAGCGTTTTTTGCGAAACAAAACAAACCCTTGACTGACATTGAAGGCTCGAGGGGGTCTCAGGAGCTCACTTTCGATGAGAAGACCATGAAAAAAGCGAGACGCAAGCAGTGGAGCGAGCCGAGAGTATGCACACGGCGATATCTGAGGGTGGACTTTGCTGATATCGGTTGGAGTGAATGGATATTAGCTCCAAAAGCTTTTGACGCCTACTACTGTGCGGGAACATGTGCATTCCCTATTCCAAAGGTCAGTTTTGCTATAATGATGAGATAAAAATTAATATTTATTCACTTTTTACTCACTTATATTGAGTTTCTTTCTATACTGCAAAAAATGCTGGCCACCACACAATTCCTTCATGTTGTCCCAGCACAAACAGATCAAGTTCACTTAACAGTTTTTACAAATCTAAGTGGATTGAACTGAAAACAAATAAGTCGCGCCCAAAAACCGTGTTAGAAAAATTGTGTTGTTTCAACTCAAGCACAAGCAGCAAAAGTCATTTTGAAGTTTTCTGTTGAACACAAAAGAAGATGTTTTGAAGAATGTTAGAAAACTGTGACCACTGACATCCTTAGTAGGAAAAACAAACACTGTGGAAGTCGATGGTTACAGGTTTACAACATGTTTTCAAAAATATTGTTTGATTTTAACAGAAAAAAAAACTCAAGATTTTACCATGGGTGAGTAAATAATGTCAGACAGTACATTTTTGGGTGAACTGCCCCAAACAACAATAAAAAACAACTATTCTGCTATTTGATCAAAAAAGTAAATATTTTGGAGAATGGAACTTGTGGCTTACAGTATTTACAGTACTAAAATACAGTATTTGCTTGTCAATGGTTACCGGTTTTGAACATTCTGAGAAATATCTTCTTCATGAGGTTCTTTTTTCTGTTGAACACAAAAGAAGATGTTTTGAGGAATGTTATAAGACTGTGACCATTGACATCCATAGTAGGAAAAACAAACACTGTGGAAGTCGATGGTTACAATTTTTGTTTTTAAATAAAAAATCACGAAGGTTTGAAACAAGTAAAAGGTGAGTAAATAATTGGTGAACTGACCCTTTATTAATATTTTATAATTAAATTAATAGTTCACTCTAAATTATATAATAAACAAGAATTCTCTACTCACCCTTTCTTCAACGGATCAAAAAAGTAGATATTTTGAAGAATGTAAGCAGTGGCTATTGACTTTTACAGTATTTGCTTGTCAATGGTTACCAGTTTTCAGCATTCTGAGAAATATCTTCTTTTGTGTTGTCATGAGGTTACAAACCTTCATGAGGTTCTTTCTTCTGTTGAACACAAAAGAAGATGTTTTGAGGAATGTTAAAAGACTGACCACTGACATCCATAGTAGGAAAAACAAACAAAAGTCGATGGTTACAGGTTTACAATGTTCAAAACAATGTTTATGTTAAACAGAAGAAAAGCTCACAAATTTCTGAAAGATGTAAATAATGACAGAAATTATTTTTGGGGGTTGAACTGTCCCTTTAAATGAATACTTCACACTCAAAATTGTAATAGAAAACAATTCTCTACTCACCCTTCTGTTGATCAAAAAAGTAGATATTTTGAAGAATGTAACTGCTGGCTATTGACTTTTACAGTATTTGCTTGTTAGTGGTTACCAGTTTTCAACATTCTGAGAAATATCTTCTTTTGTGTTGTCAAAAAGGTTTTAATAGAAGAAAAACAACGGTTTGAAACAATCAAAGGGAGAGTAAATAATGACAGAAAAGTATATTTTTGGGTGAACTGCCCCTTTAAATGAATACTACAATCAAAATAATGATAAAAACAACAATTTTCTACTCACCCTTTCTTGTACTGATCAAAAAGAAGATATTTTGAAGAATGTAACCAGTAGCTTTTGACTTTTACAGTATTTGCTTGTCAATGGTTACCAGTTTTGAACATTCTGAGAAATATCTTCTTTTGTGTTGTCATAAAGGTTACAAACCTTCATGAGGTTCTTTTTTCTGTTGAACACAAAAGAAGATGTTTTGAGGAATGTTATAAGACTGTGACCACTGACATCCATAGTAGGAAAAACAAACACTGTGGAAGTCGATGGTTACAATTTTTTTTTAAAATAAAAAGTCACAAAGGTTTGAAACAAGTAAAAGGTGAGTAAATATTTGGTGAACTGACCCTTTAAATTAATAGTTCACTCTAAATTATAATAAAAACAAGAATTTTCTACTCACCCTTTCTTCAACGGATCAAAAAAGTAGATATTTTGAAGAATGTAACCAGTAGTTTCTGACTTTTACAGTATTTGCTTGTCAATGGTTACCAGTTGTCAGCAACAGTTCAAAAATAGTTTGTTTTTAACAGAAGAAAAACATGCAAAGATTTTAAGTAAAGGGTGAGTATATAATATATATAATCACAGAAATGAAATTTTTGGGAAAGTTTACTCAAAACGAAAATAAAAAAAAGCAACTCTCTACTCGCCCTTTCTGCTGTTTAATCAAAAAAGTAGATATTCTGATGAATGTAACCAGTGGCTATTGACTTTTACATGATTTGCTTGTCAATGGTTAAAGCTCAGAGGTGTGAAGCATGTAAATGATGAGTAAACAAAGACAGAAATTACATTTTCGGGTGAACTGTCCTTTTAAATGAATCATTCACACATAATTATAATAAAAACAACACTCTCTCTCTCTCTCTCTCTCTCTTCTTAATATTGCGTGAACTGCAGTTCTCAGTAAAGGACTAAAAATGATTTCATGTTAAAGGGTTAGTTCACACTAAAATGCCAATTTCCTCACACAGAATGTCTTTGGTTTGATGTGCAGGCTAGTTGGCTGAAGATTTAAACGAGCATGAAAAAAATAAGCTACATGTTTTAGTCATTTGTTCAGCATAATGCTGCCATCTAGTGCACTACATTGTGCAACTAAAGGAGTTTTTTTTTTATTTTTACTCGAGGATTGGTTAACCATAAAGAAAAATAATTCAGTCATGTATTCTCATTTGTAAGGACAAAAATAATGATGTCTCTTGAGGTTTTGTCAAAGACCTGTTAAATTACAAAGGAGAGTTCTGCATTCAATAGCAATTACAGATCATTTATAATTATTTATACTTGGACATTGTGTGCACTGCAGTTCTCATTACAGGACTACACTGAAAGAATTATTCAAAGATGATTCCTTGGATTTACTCAATTTTTTTTCATTAAGTGGTTTGGAAACAATTTAATTGTGTTGAATTTAAACAAAAAATTAAGCTGAACATTATTCAATTTAATTTGTTTGTTTAAATTCAAAAAAATAAATTGTTTGCAACAGTTCTGCATGCAACAATTTTTTCAGTGTATGAAAGCTGTCCTGTTAAAGGGAAAGTTCACACAAGATGGAGATTTTCTCACTCTCAAGTGGTTCTAAACATCTGTGCTTTTTCTTGGTTAAACCCAAAAGAGGGGCGACACGGTCACCTCACAGCAAGAAGGTCACTGGTTTCAGACTCAACTTTATTATCCCGTTTAGGGAAACTAAAATTGCAGCAAAGTGCCGTAACACAGGCGGAGTTCCATGTGCACATTAAAAAGTGATTACCCCAAAACATACAATACATCATGTTCAGGGGCGCAACTGCACATTTACTGATGGGTATGCGGCTTCAATCCAACTATATTTTATAACAGGCAAGTGATAAAATGTGGAAAATATTTCCATCAATAAATTAAAGATATTTTTTCTTAAAGATATCAATATGCTTAAAAAAAAAACAGTTTTGCAGTTCTGAACACAACTGAAATAGTATGAAGTAGTAAAAGGTAAATTACATTAAGCATGTTAAGTCGCAAAGAAATGCATCTCATACCACCCCAAATTTCTTCTCCATTTAATTTTCCCACACTAAATGATTATAGCACCTTGACTAGCCTTGCTTTTGGACTTTGTACTACATTTGTCAAAACAAAATGATAGACATGGGAGTCCTAAAGGGCAAAAGAACATTGCAATAACTTCTCACATGCATACTGTGGGAAGTGTAAGGTCTGTCTCTGCAAGAACAATTGACTGAAACTGCTAAAAGTGAAATAAAAAAAGACTGTCAAATGTTTAGTGTAAAATAAAAACAGAAACAAACTGTGAAATGTTCTATTTAATTGAAATGTTATAACTTTGTTTGTAGCTAAAATTAAAATAGTTTTGAGCTAAGAAGTAACCAAAAGGCCTGATGAATCAATATGATACATAATAAATTCATAAAAACATGTATATGGTATTAAAAATGGGAAGGGGAGGAATGATTTTTTCATTTAATAAAATACTATATTATATGCGTATAAAATGCTAAATAAACATTTTTAACAAAAAAATATATATATTATTTGAAACTTTTAATATGGATAATTTCAAAAATAATTTTGGCACAATGGCGCCCCCCATGTGTGGCGCCCCTATGCGCCGCATAAACTGCATACTCCCTTTTTGCGTCACTGATCATGTTATAGGTGCATCTCCCTCCCCCCCTGGACTCATTTAACAACCTAATGACCACCATTATAAAAAAATCTAACTCTACAGTATTTGTCCTGCAAATAGGAACTCTAAAACGACGTCCTGATAACTCGGCTGAACCACTGAGTGAAACAGGTGATTCGGGGTGCATAGCATACCCTGAGCTCTCTTTAAAACACCAGTTCAGTAAATTACCATAGGACCAGTTTGGTTAAAACCAGTGATCTTGCCTGCCACCTTAACCAGGCTACTCAACCTGTTCTTGTTTGACACACTCGGATTACCGTACCAAGATACAATGCATAAAGATAAAACAGATTCAATTAATTGTTTATAAAACAGCGTCATCATAGAGGTACAAACCTGAAACCATCCAAGTTTCCTCAGATAAAAAATACTGTTTTTGTTGGACTTTTTTTTACAGACAGCCTAGGTGTTAGGTTGAAATGACAACAGGAGTCTTGGGTGGGCCGTTTGGCATTTCTGTGTGGAGTTTGCATGTTCTCCCTGTGTTGTTGTGGGTTTCCTCGTTCAGTTTCTCCCACAGTCCAAACACATGCGCTATAGGTGAATTGGCCAGTGTATGAGTGTGTGTGTGTGTGTGTGTGTGTGTGTGTGTGTGTGTGTGAATAAGTGTATGGGTGTTTCCCAGAACTAGGTTGCAGCTGGAAGGGCATCTGCAGCGTAAAACATATATATGTATATGCTGTAATAGTTGGCGGTTCATTCCGCTGTGGTGACCTCTGATAAATAAGGGACTGAGCCGAAGGAAAATGAATGAATGCATAAACACAAAAGAAGATATTCTGAAGAATGGTGGGTAAAAAAAACAGACATTGACATCACATACTATGGAAGTCGATGGATATTTTTTCGAGCATTCTTCTGACTATCTTCTTTTCTGTTCAACTGACGAAAGAAACTCAAACATGATGCGTAAATGATGGCAGAGTTTTCATTAGTGGGTGAAATATCCCTTTAAAGTCTGCATAATCCGGAAGCTGCAACCTTTTTTTGTATTGTGACGCAGTTCCCGGAGAAACAGAATATTAAATGAGAAATGAGTGGGTGTGGTTTTTTTTTTCTACTGCGATCTGATTGGATGTAGTAAAGTAGGCATGCCATTCAGAAAGATGGGGAGGTGGTTTGGGGAGAGTTAATACAACCTTACTGACTCCTCCTGCTCACCATTTCTGTTTGTTGTCAAAACTGACAGCTGGATGGGCGTGGTTAAGTATGCTTGCCACGCCCACTACCTAAGACAGACCTAATCTGGGAATTTAGCTGAAAACGAACAGGAAGTGCATTTTCAGATTTCACTTGAAGCTTACAAGGGTAAACTATTTTTTCTTAATGATATGAGCTGATGAATTGTTCACCACAAAACTAGCAATGCAAGCTAACGCAATCAATCTGTTTAGTTTTGATTTTTATATACTTCACGGCTTTATCCTCCAACCTTGACTTTCTTTCTCATAATGCAGGTTGTCCATCCATCCAATCATGCGACCATCCAGAGTATAGTGAGAGCGGTTGGGATTGTTCCTGGAGTCCCGGATCCGTGCTGCGTCCCGGATAAGATGAGCTCTCTGGCCGTACTCTTCCTGGACTCCAGCAGGAATATGCTATTGAAGATCTATCCCAGCATGTCTGTGGAAACCTGCGCCTGTCGATAAACGAGAAACACTAATGGAAATACGGATAAATAATCTGCAAAACAGTAAACTCTGCTACAGGGACTGCCGTCATATGACAAAAACAAACTCTTATGTCTGCAAATAAGACCTCAACACCTCAGATAATACAGGATCTTTGCACACAAACTTTGTATTTTCTGTCCGCTCTTTCATTTTGAATGAACTGTATATAATCCTTATTGTGACATACTGTAGTTTGCTTAAGGTAAGACTCATTTTGCAACGAATACATGGTGAATTTAAGGACAAAGAGATTTAAATGCATTTCTGTAAATAAATCTGGTAATATTCTGCATTATGTCTCATTCGTGAACATTGGTTGATGTGTTTGTTCACTTGAAAGAATTGTGATTAAACATTTTGTTCAACGTGATTTGATTTTATATTTAAGGGGACCCATAATGACAAGATGTAAAATAAGACACCAGCAAATCAAAATAAAATATTAGTATATGTTTATGGAATGCAGTTGATATTATAAAAAAAATAAACTTCTACTAAAGGAACAGTTCACAAAAAAGTTTCAAAAAAAAGTTCTAAAGTCAGAATTCAGAGTTATAAAGTCGGAATTGTGAATTTTTAGGTCAGAATTCCGAGTTTTTAAGTCAGAATTGCGAATTATAAAAGTCAAAATTGCGAGTTACAAAGTCGGAATTGCAAGTTCTAAAGTCAGAATTCCAAGTTATAAAGTCAGAGTTCTGTTATACAGTCTGAATTGCGAGTTCTAAAGTCAGAATTGCGAGGTTTTTAGGTCAGAATTCCAAGTTGTTAAGCCAGAATTGCGAGTTATAAAGTCAAAATTGCGAGTTACAAAGTCAGAAGTGCAAGTTATAAAGTCAGAATTCAGAGTTATAAAGTCAGATTTCCGAGTTATAATGTCAGAATTCCGAATTAAGTCAAAATTGCAAGTTATAAAGTCAGAATTGCACGTTAAGTCAGAATTCCGAGTTAAGTCAAAACTCAGAGTTAAGTCAGAATTACAAGTTACTAAGTCAGAATTCGTGTTAAGTTGAAATTGCGTGCTATAAAGTCAAAATTGCAAGTTATAAAGTCAGAATTGTGAGTTATTAAATCAGAATTCCAAGTTATAAAGTCAAAATTGCAAGTTATTAAGTCAGAATTCCGAGTTAAGTCAGAATTTCGAGTTAAGTCAGAATTGCAAGTTATTAATTCAGAATTGTGAGTTAAAGTCAGAATAGCAAGTAATTAAATCAGAATTGCGAAGTATAAATGAGTTTCCTGACTGCCGACTGGCCATAGATAGAGTGTTAAAGAACTCGGAAATTCTGACTTTATAATTTATATATATATATATATATATATATATATATATATATATATATATATATATATATATATATATATATATATAAAAAATAATTTTTTTTTTTAATTTTAGCATTCAGTGTACTTCCAGAAATTATCCTCTTTTTTACAAGATCTAAAATAACTCTCAGATGTCTCTAGAGTGTGTGTGTAAGAAGTTTCAGCTCAAAATACCAAACAGATAATGTTTTCTAACTCTTTGAAACGGACCCTTTTTAGGCTTTGATACTAATATTGGCGTTTTGATGGCTGTCGCTTTAAATTCAAATGAGATTGTGCTGTTTTTAAAAAAGGGCGGAGCTACAGATGCCTATGTGTCAGCGTAGTGGCAGGTTCAGAAACAAGACTAACGTACTTTGCTAATAAGGGAGACACAGTCACTACTGACCCAGCCGAGACTCGAACCAGTGACCTTCTTGCTGTAAGGCGACAGTGCTGACCACTAAGCCACCTTGAACCATGGTTATTATATAAATATTTATTAAAATTCTAATAGTTTGGATTTGCCCATTTATTAAAATATATATGTTTTATTGCGAATAAAGACTTGATGAATTGTATTGGAAACAGGGAAGAGGGCGACGGTCAACTTTTAGACCCATTAACCCTTTCCACAACCTGAAAATGAAACCAAATGCAAACTAAAGAGAGCGCTGGAATCTTTAATGTTAATATTTATCATTTCCGAGGCTGATAAGTTGAGACATCCTACACATAAACACAAACAAATTCAAAGTGATGGAGTTGCCTTTATAAAAACAGAGCCTGACCGTGTAAATAAGCCTGTCAAAATCTCACTCATTAGTCGTTCTGGTAGTGTTTACAGAACGCTCATTAACTACGCGCTTCCTCCAGATAACCAAGTCCAAACCACAACATTGGTGTCAAAGATAATAGCTATGCTACTATTTTGGTTTCCAGAGCTTAGCGTGGGGCATGGGAGTAAACCTGAGGTTCACTTAAGGAACCCCGATTTCAAAGCATCATCCACAAACCAAAGTCAGATGTAAAACTTGTTGCTCAAAGTCACTTATCGCTGCAGGAACTAAAAGAAGATGTGGCGCGTAGGACATTTGCTCCTTCTGATGTCCATTGTTTTTAGGATTACCGAAGAGAAATCTTTAGGTGACGCTGGCAGCTTGGAAGATTCAATGTTCATTCAAGAGCAGAAGCTGGTTGAAGACGATGACTTGAACAAGGTGGAGAGTTTCTTAGGCTTTATGAAGGAAGATTTTTTGAGGAAGCTGAACTTATCAGGCGTGCCGCAGGAACACAGAAAGGTTCAGCCTCCTCAGTTCATGATCGAACTCTATAATAGATACGCTTCTGACAAGAACTCCATCCCTCGGTCGGATGTCATCCGAAGCTTTGTCGTTCAGGGTGAGTACACATAAAGAGAGCTCACAATCTCTGAGGCGGATCTGTTCAATATTACACACATTAAAAGAGCTTCTTTGATTGATTGTACCATCAGAGGAAACTTTTCATTAGGTGATATATACTGGAACCAGCAGCGGTGGACAATAACAAGAGTTTTAACTGGATTGCTCACACAAAAATGTTCATTTTACTATCATTTGCTTATTCTTTACGTCAGGGGTCACCAATCTCATTTCTGGAGGTCCGTTGGCCTGCAGGGTTTAGCTCCAACTTGCCTCAACACACCTGCCTGGGTGTTTTAAGTATACCTAGTAAAGCTGCGGTCACACTAGAGTTTGATAATAAAATTCTGTGGTACGACGCTGCGAAAAGGGGCGGGAATAAACAAGATTATCTGTTCAGAGAGGTCATGTTTTGATCCTCAATTGGTCTCACGCAGTCAAGTGATGCGATTTCGCAGGTCAGAGTTCACCAAGCTTGAACTTTGCACCGTAGGAACCTGCGAAACTTGACGCATGACCTTGCGTTTCCGGTCTGACCAACACAATCTCACGGCAATTCGTAACTTTTTCATTTAGTGGCTAATTCGTATGAATTTGTACGATCTAATTCGTACAATTTAGTACGATTTGCTTATCCCCCAATGACGGTTGGGGTTAGGGGTGGGGTTAGGTGCCACGCCTCCTTTTTAAAATCGTATCATTTCGTACGACTGAAATCGTACAAATTCGTACGAATTAGCCACTAAACTGCCAAAACGTTAAATACTTACGTTTTCTCGTGAGATCACGCTGGTCTGACACATTCGCGCGAGTATGAATGGAAGTCTACGGGAGGAAAAGCAGCTTCAGACCTTGATTATCTTGTTCAGGTGTGTTTGATTAGGGTTGGAGCTAAAATCTGCAGGACACCGGCCCTCCAGGAACAAGTTTGGTAATCCCTGCTCTGCGTGCTCCAAAACTATATGAGCTTCTGTTGAATACAAAACTGTGAAGAATGTTGGGGAAAAGGCAGCCATTGACATCCATATAAAAATACTATGAAAGTCAGTTTTCCCCCCCGCAGAATTCTTCAATATATTTATGAAAATGAAGAAAAATTCATGAAAGTTTACAACCAATTTGGTGTGAGGAAACAGTGAATATCCCTTTTTAATACATTATCGAATATCTTTCACAAAAGTTGTTTTGTAAACTTATTTTAAAGCATAATTGTGCTTTTTTTATATTAAAAATATATTTTTTTATTATTTATAACTAAAGAAATTCTCCTGCCGTAATTTAAAGTCATAACAGTGGTGTCTTTTTTCATGAATGAGCTGACTTTTGTCAACACATAATAATCCTTTTTTTTTTTTTTAAATGAACTGCTGATTTTCGTCTCCTTCAGCAATTTTCTGAGAGTCAGTTGTCGATCTTTAGTGCGTTTATTCATCTGCCGTCCCTATGTGGGCGGAGTAATACACAAGAGGCTGTATGAGTGCTGTTATTTTGGAATATCGCATGACTATCAGCCAATCAGATTCGAGAACCAGATAGAAATATTGTAAAAATTACAATAATTATTAAACGCATTTTAATTTTTTGTTTCTTCTTGTAAATTTTAAACTATTACTGGCTATCAAAATGACCAGAAATCCAGTGAATTTAAGGGGACTTTTTTTTTTAAAGTGTAATATTGAACATTGGCGGCATGGTGGCTCAGTGGTTAGCACTGTCGCCTCACAGCAACAAAGCCACTGGTTCGAATTACGGCTGGGTCAGTTTGGCATTACTGTGTGGAGTTTGAATGTTCTCCCCGTGTTGTTGTGGGTTTCCTCCGGGTGCTCCGGTTTCCCCCACAGTCCAAACACATGCGCTATAGGGCAATTGGATAAACTAAATTGGCTGTAGGGTGTGAGTGCATGTGTGTTTCCCAGTACTGGGTTGCGGCTGTGTAAAACATATGGCGGAACAGTTGGCGGTTGAGTAATATTTTTTTGGCCTCTCTTATCCTTTTCACAAGATCTTTAACACATCAAATTAATGGTAAAATTCACTGAGCTCCCTTTTGTCTACTCTACAGATGTTATTTATTCCATCAGACAAGGCAACAAAACCCAACACCGGCTGCTATTCAACGTTTCCATCCCAAATCACGAAGAGATTACCTCAGTCCAGCTACGTCTGTTCACTCTCTGGCACAGACATAAACCCGCCTGCGACGATCTCTTCACATCCATAAACGTCTATGATGTAGAATACGAGCAGAATGCTAAAATATTACACCTTCTGGATGGCAGAGACGTGAGAGAGTCCATAAACACGTGGGAGGCTTTTGATGTGACCGGAGCCGTCAGGATTTGGCATGAATCTAGACGTGGGGCTGGGGAAATTCAGGTTGAAGTCCAACATAGCTGTGACTCCTTCGATATAAGTCTGAGTCTAGAGGACAACAGCTCTGCGGTCGTCATTGTTTTTTCTGATGATCTCGGAAACCGGAAGGAAGAGTCGATGAGGAAGGTTAAAGAGATGCTTGTGCGTGAACAACAGCAAGTGGGAAATCAAGCTCCAGTGAGCAACCGACACCGCAGGAGAAAGAGGAAAGCAAAGAACAATTATTGTCGGAGAACTTCCCTCAAGGTCAATTTCAAAGACATCGGATGGGACAAATGGATCGTTGCGCCGCCGGAATACGACGCTTATGAGTGCAAAGGTGTGTGTTATTTCCCTCTAACTGATGACGTTAGCCCATCCAGACATGCAGTCATCCAGACACTGGTTAACCTCAGCAATCCAAAGAAAGCAAACATGGCATGTTGCGTCCCGACCAAGCTGGACCCAATCGCCGTCATGTACCAGGAAAAAGGCGTCATCACCGTCCGACATCTCTACGAGGAGATGAAAGTTGCAAAGTGTGGCTGTAGGTAGTGTTTGGATGCATCTGTATACATGTATATAACATATATATATATTATGTATATCGTTATAAATATATTTTTATTCCTATTGAAATACCTCTTAAAGGGATAGTTCACCCCAAAAATTAAAAGTCTGTTTAATTTGTTCCAAACCTGGGGTGCGTTTCCCAAACATCGATGTAACTCGTGGCTAAACTATCATAGTACGATGCATCATTTGGGAAAAGAACCAGCCTAGGCTGGTTGGCTGGTTTTAGCTGGTCGACCAGGCTGGTTTTAGAGGGGTTTTGGCCACTTCCAGGCTGGTTTCCAGCCATTTCCAGCCTGGTCTTAGCTGGTCAGGCTTGGAGATGACCAGCTAAAACCAGCTTGACCAGCCAAGCCAAGCTGGGAGTCCAGCCAAAACCAGCTATATCCAGCTTAAACCAGGCTGGTCAAGCTGGTTTTAGCTGGATTTGGCCGGTCATTTTCCAGCCTGACCACCAGCCTGGTCGACCAGCTAAAACCAGCCAACCAGCCTAGGCTGGTTTAAGCTGGATTTTTCAGCAGGGATGCATAATTTGGGAAAAGAACGATGTTTGTTTCCCAAAACTCGTAGTTTCTCTTTTGCAGATCTATCGTTTGAACATACAGTAACATTATTTATCAACATGTGGCTCTTTTTGGATTCTTGGACTCTATAGACATGAAAAATGCAAACAGGAAATACGTTGAGACCATTGTTTTTGTTTACATTTCTCAAAATGTTCTATATTCCTACCCTAAACTGTTTAAATAACCATAAGCAGATATTTTTAATTTAATGAAGCAATTGTCATGGTTATTGGTTTATTAATAGCTTGAGAATTGTAGCTTAAAGTGTAACCAACATTATTTTAATGAAACAACGATTGTAGAGGTTAATGTCAACATCCTTAATGTGATCAAAATGCTATTTTCACTTCAACATGTTGACTACATGAGAATATACTGCAGGGGCATTTCAAGGATTCAGCATCTGGGACACAGATCAAAACATCAGGCCTGATATTTCTCCTTAGAGATCTTTTTGTTTAACATTTTGATACAGAAACATACTTACACATGTATGCAAAAACAGATGTGGATGCTTGGCCAATGCATACTGTACATACTAGTCAAAAACCTCAAGGGGGCGATAGAGTAACAGTACTGTTCAGGTAGAAGGGAATATCTACGGTACAAATTAGTAGCTCTCCTGAAACGGTTTTTCAGATGTTTTCCAAGCGCTGTCTAAGAGAGCAAGGAAATTATTAATGCTAGCATCTTGCAAAATAACTAGTAAAGACGAAAGAAATTAATTAATGGAAATTAGTTATTAAAATTATTATGTTTAAAAATGTATAGCCAAAATCTTCTCTCTGTTAAACAGCACAGAAAAAAATATATAAATAAATAAATAATATTATAATATATAATAAACACACACACACACACACACATGTACTGTATATATATATTTAACTGTATATGAGATTCAACGTGTTTAGCAAAAAAGTCTATTTAACTGTGCATCTATAAGACAATTTCTTTTTTTAAATGTGTTTTTATTAAAGTTTTTATAAACATAGTATACGAATAACACTTACTTATAATGTTTACAATCACAGAAAAGAAACAAATAGATGTAAAATAATTGATATAAATTATAATAATATATAAATAATAGTGACAGCTTTAAAACAAAAAAAATAATAATTTAATTAATTAATTAAAAGAGGGGGGGGAGAATAAATAAATAAATAAATAAATAAATAAATAAATAAATAAACTCCAATATAAAGGCAATAACTGTGACAAAGACAAAGCCCCTGAAACCCTTTCAAAGATCAAGCATGTATGTTTCGATTAATGCCCAGGTCTGTTGGAAGAAGTCTAAAAGTCTAACTGCAAATCTGCAGTCATTTTCTCATATATATATATATATATATATATATATATATATATATATATATATATATATATATATATATATATATATACACACACACACACACACACACACACACACATATACATATATATACACACACGTTTCAACCTCTGTGTCTATTCTGTCAAAGTAGGTTGGCAGGTCTTCATCCAGTTCACTGTAATTCTTTTCCTACCTGTTATTATGAATATATTTAGTGTAAATAGGTGAGACTTACTGAATTGATCAAATATGTTATTGATGATGTGAATTGACAAAATACTGGGTGCATTGGTATGTCATATCCTAAAACTTTTCTAATCTCCCTGTTAACCTCCTGCCAGTACACTTGTATATTAGGACATTCCCAAAATATGTGAACACAGTCCCCCACTTCTCCACAATCTCTCCAGCATTGTGATAATTGTAAAGAACTATTGAATTTGGCGGCCACTAACGGAACTCTGAAAAACCTCATCTTCCAGTCCAACTCCCTCCATATTCCCTGCTTATACCCTTATAACAATTTGTGCATATTTGTTCCCACATTTCATCCTCTATTATAGTGTTTAACACTAATTCCCTAATTCTTTTGCTATAATGAGAGTAGTCAGATTTATCCTGCATCAGTTTTCTATATAAATGGGCTACAGGATTTTTAGCAGGCAGACCGTGTTCAATAATATCCTAATAAGTATTCCTAACAACCAAAGCTACTACTGAACCTAAGTGAAGTCGCTTAATTAAATGTGTAAACAAATAACACTAATGAGGCATAAGAATTTAGCCAGTGGCGATCCCACTCTGGGTATTTCCAGGACAAATAAACAAATATTTTCAGGGAAATGCACATATTTTGGGAGGCGTGTGTGTGTGTCTGTGTTTAGGCAATACTCTCACTATAAAGTTCAAGACAAAAACTTCCAGGGCTTGAACTCTAAACCATGACCCCATGACTTTTAAGATATTTGACATTGCACACTTACTTCCAGTACTACTTTTCATCTGATTTTCTATTTATATATATATATTTCATTACCTTTTTGTTCTGTATATATCTGTATATAATCACTTGTTTTTGCTTATGGTTCTATCATGTACTGTGCATTTACATACAACACGTGTGTTTTTACAATAGTAATTTTATTAACTGTAAATTGATTTATGTTTTATCAATAAAAAAGTAATTTTATTGCAAGGAAGTTGAATATTTTGTTTCCATTTGGTAATTCTCAGTTTCTTTAGATTTACTAGGTGGCTTAGGAGATACGGTGGCTCAGTGGTTAGCACTCTCCCCTCACAGCAAGAAGGTCGCTGGTTCACGGCAGTCACGGCTGGGGTAGTTGGCATATCTGTGTGGAGTTTGCATATGACCAATTTAGCCGATTAAATTCCAATAGTATCTGGATGCAGCCTTTATGATGCACGATGAGTCACTGTGAGGGGTAGGGTTAGGGGTGGGGTTAGATGAAACCATTAAAAAGCATTGGATGCCGCCCAGATTGCATCTGCACCAAGTCTGCAGCCAGACCCCTCTCTTCAATTTACACAAAGCACATGTGTTTGGTGCACCCAGAGGAAACCCGCACCAACATGGGGAGAACATGCAAACTGGCACAGCTTGGACTCGAACCAGTGACCTTCTTGCTGTGAGGTGACAGTGCTAACCATTGAGCCGCCGTGCCACCCTAACACAGTTATTTTCTGTGGGAAAAAATACTCATGACAACATTTATTATTTTTAAATAGTTTTAGAATGTAAATAAGCAAAAATATATATTGTGGTTTAATAATTCAGATTCTTTTAATCACAAAAAATTAATGCAGTGGAAAAAAATACTTATGACAAGATTACTTTTTTTATAAATTCGAAAGAAATGTTAACAACTTTATATGATAAAATAATCAGAAAATCAATATCTGGTGGAATATATATTTTTTTTTTATCACAACCAATCAACAGTTATTTTCTGTGTGAAAAACACCACTAATGACAATATTTTTAGTAGAAATTTTGAAGAAATTTAACATTAGATAATAAAAATGATCAAAACATCAATATTTGGCGGAGTAATTAAGATTTTTGGTCCCACATTATATTAAGTGGCCTTAACTAACATGTACTTACATAGGAATTAATAGTTTGTTACAATGTATATACATGTATTTACTGTGTACTTATGCTTGATTAAAAACATTTATGTAATTACATCTGTAATTGACTTTTGTAATTACATTTGTAAATACACTGTTGACCATCCCTTACACCCTTAAACCTACCCATACCACCAAACCTGTCCATAACCCAACCCCTATCCCAACTCAAAAGCACCACAAGTTTGCTCAAATACATTATGAACAAGGTAAGTACATTGTATTTATTTTTCTAATGTAAGTAAATAGTAGTTAAGGACACTTAATATAAAGGGGGACAAGATTTTTAAATGACTACAAATTACCATGGAAAAACACTCCTAGTTACAATATTTTCATTTAAAAATTGGAAGTAAATCACAACTTTATATAGTAAAAATAAATATTAACTGTCAAACACACTTAATAAACACCAAAATAAAACAGATTAAAGATGCAAGCAGGAATCTTATGGAACATGCAAAATTTCAGGCAGGTCAGACATTGTGCGGCTGAGTAATAAGCTAAACTACCTTCTGTCAGCAGGTGGCGCTATGACTGACTCGATAATGGCATATAGATGTCTTCAGAGGAGGAATCTTATCAATCATTGGAAGTTTCAGGCAGATCGGACATTGTGTGATTGAGTTATAAGTACTTCCTGTTTCATGGAGAAGCACTGAGGTTTGTCAGGCCGCCACGCCACGAAAACTCTTGATCTTCACAATATATCATCGCTAGAGCTTTCAGAGGACACCACCCAAATTTGGTGTTGATACGATAAAATTTGTGGGAGGGGTTTGTTACACTGTAAAACATGTCATTTCCTGTTGCCAGTAGGTGGCGCTATTACTGTATGTGGATATTGGCATGTAAACGTGTTCAGGTCAAGACTCTTATCAAAAGTGTACATTTTCAGGCAGATCGGATGATGCATGCCTGAGTTATAACAACTTCCTGTTGTTTCGTGGCGAATTGTCAAAGTTTGCGAGGTCACCACGGACACGCCCTTCGGCGAAAACTCTAGATCTTTGCAAATTAACATCGCCAAGGCCGTTAGATGACAAAACCCAATTTTGGTGTTGATCGGATAAAATCCCTAGTAGGAGTTTGTTAAAATACAATGTCGGAAATGGCAAAAACCTCATATCCGACTTCCTGTTGGGATTGAGATTTCGCACCAGGAGACATTTTCGTAGGTTTTGGTATGTTTAACGTCTGTGCCAATTTTCGTATGCGTGCATGCATCATAGCTTGGGAGCCAGTCGGTCAAAAGTGCATAGATGGCACTGTCGAGTCATTTTGCAATGCCCACTTCTGAAACTCATAACAAACGTAAATTTTCGCCACTTCTGGGGCGTGTGCAAAGTTGCTTGAGTTTTCGGGCATAATTAGCACCTCAAAATCGCGATTAATTCCAGAAAAGAAGGGGAAGAAGAAGAAACGGAGCAATCCCTGAAAATTCCTCAGGTTGTCTCTAATTTTCTTTATTTAAATTCCTTTGAGTTTTGAGCGGCGAAGCAGTGGGTAGCACGTTCGCCTCACAGCAAGAAGGTTGCTTGGTCGCAGGTTTGAACCTTGGCTCAGTTGGCGTTTCTGTGTGGAGTTTGCATGTTCTCCCTGCGTTCGCGTGGGTTTCCTCCGGGTGCTCCGGTTTCCCCCACAGTCATGCGGTGCAGGTGAATTGGGTAGGCTAAATTGTTCGTCGTGTATGAGTGTGTGTGTGAATGTGTGTATGGATGTTTCCCAGAGATGGGTTGCGGCTGGAAGGGCATCCGCTGCGTAAAAACTTGCTGGATAAGTTGGTGGTTCATTCCGCTGTGGCAACCCAGAGTTTTGAGCGCTCTCAACTGAGATTTCCCATTGGCTAAAGCAATTCAAAGCCTTCGAAATTTGCATTTGTAACATCTACAGTTTGTGTAACATTCATACGATCTTAATTTGCATGATTTTAAAACAATAAACAAAGCCTAATCTTAAAATCACTTCATGAAAATCATAGCATTTGCATGATTCTAATACATGCTTACACCATTTATTTTCACACGTATTGATGCTTACCTGCTTCTTTCACCAAAAATGATTCCTCTTATCAGACGCATTTCACAAAACTCCAGTCATCGCCTCTGATTGGCCGGAGGGAATCAGCAGATAGCGTTGCATAAGATCCTGAGCATTAAGAGATAAAGCAAGATTAACAGTGCACTACCAATTAGCGTTGAGTGAGTGTGGAGTTACATAATTTCATCCTGTTAAAGCGGCAAGGGCCTCTAAATTCACACTAATACCCTGATATTCAGGCAAATGCTGGAAAAGAATGTGAAAGCAGATTTTATAAAACAACAGCAGCTATTTGCTCTGTGAATAATGCACATTTTGTAGGGAAATCAGGAATTAACTGAAGATTATATGATCGAATCCATGTAGTGCGAAGGTATTTAAGGAATGTGTTTCATGTAATGAGATTAAGAAACTCCTATAGGCTCCATTTCTATCTCCATGTTCATTAAATAGTCTTGTTTACCGGTGTTATTGTGTCACTAGCTTGACCCAGACCTTACCTTTGGAAGCTTGACCTTATTTTCCTTATGCTGTGACAACAGACCTGGAAGGGCTATAATCCAAGAGAAAGTAAAACAGATTAATGTAGAAAAGATATACTAATTTAAGACTACTTTCAATTGCAAAAATAGATATTTGGTTACCAAACTGATCGCACTATTAATTTACTCCCATAATTGGAAAAATAAATAAATATTAATTAAATAAAAAGAGAGTAAACGCATGGAGAAATCTCTTCAAAATGAATTATTTAACCTCAATGGTTGACTTTGTCCACATTTGACCCAATGTTGGGTTACGACAACCCATAGCATTTTTTTAGAGTGTATTAAAACACACCAAACAAACTATAACCATTTAATTCTGCCCGTCAAATTGTTGTGAATTCACAAATTTATTTGTTCTGCTAAAAACAAAGGAAGATATTTGATTACCAAACAGATTTCACCACCCATTTACTCCCATATATGGAAAAATCTGTATTAAATAAACAAAAAGAGAGTAAATGCATGGAGAAATTTCTTTAAAATTGATTATTTAACACCAATGGTTGGGTTTGTCCACATTTTACCCAATGTTGGGTTAGAACAACCTTCAAAGTGTATTAAAACACACCAAATAAACTATAAAAATAAAAATTCTGCCCTCGGGTTGTTCCAAATCCATATACGTTTATTTGTTCTGCTGAAAACAAGGGAATATATTTTGTCACTAAACCGATCTCACCACCCATTTACTCCCATAGTTGGAAAAATAAATGCTAAATAATAAATTAATACATAAAAATAAATAAATGAATTTTAAAAAAGTAAACACATGGAGAAATCTCTTTAAAATTAATTATTTTACCCCAATGTTTGGGTTTGTCCACATTTGATCTAATGTTTGGTTACAACAACCCATAGCATTTTTTAGAGTTTATTAAAACACACCAGGGCGAGGCAGTGGCGCAGTAGGTAGTGCTGTTGCCTCACAGCAAAATGGTCGCTGGCTCGAGCCTCAGCTCAGTCGGCGTTTCTTTGTGGAGTTTGCATGTTCTCCCTGCATTCGCGTGGGTTTCCTCCGGATGCTCCAGTTTCCCCCACAGTCCAAAGACATGCAGTACAGGTGAATTGGAAAGGCTAAATTGTCCGTAGTGTATGAGTGTGTGCATGAATGTTGCCCAGAGATGGGTTGCGGCTGGAAGGGCATCCGTTGCGTAAAAACTTGCTGGATGAGTTTGCGGTTCACTTTGTGGTGACCCCAGATTAATAAAGGGACTAAGCCGACAAGAAAATGAATGAATGAATGAATGAATGAATGAATCACACCAAATAAACTATAAAAAATATTTAATTCTGCCCTCAGATTGTTGTGAATCCATATGCGTTTGTTTGTTCTACTGAAAACAAATGAAGATATCTAATTACCAAACAGATCTCACCACCCATTTACTCCCATAGTTAGAAAAAAAAAATACTAAATAATAATTTAATACATAAAAAGAGAGTAAACGCATGGAGAAATCTCTTTAAAATGAATTATTTTAGCCCAGTGTTTGAGTTTGTCCACATTTGACCCAATGTTGGGTTTTGACAACCCATAGCATTTTTAGAGTGTATTAAAACACACCAAACAAACTATAAAAAAAATTTGAATTCTGCCCTCAGGTTGTTGTAAATCCAAATGCGTTTCTTTGTTTTACTATAAACAAAGGAAGATATATGATTAACAAACAGATCTCACCACCCATTTACTCAAATAGTTGGAAAAATAAATGCTAAATAATTTAATTAATAAAAAGAAAGTAAATACATGGAGAAATCTCTTTAAAATTAATTATTTAACACCAATGGTTGGGTTTTTCCACATTAAACCCATGTTGGGTTAGAACAACCCATAGCATTTTTCAAAGTGTATTAAATCAAACTAAATAAACTAATAAAAATTGAATTCTGCCCTTAGACGAAGTTAATTCATATACATTTTTTTGTTCTGCTGAAAACAAAGGAAGATTTTCGGTCACCAAACAGATCTCACCACCCATTTACTTCTATAGTTGGAAAAATCTGTATTAAATAAACAAAAAGAGAGTAAATGCAGGGAGAAATCTCTTCAAAATTAATTATTTAATCCCAATGGTTGGGTTTGTCCACATTTACCCAATTTTCGGTTAGGACAATCCATAGCATTTTTTAAAGTGCATTAAAACAGACTAAACATTTCTTTTTTTTTCTGCTGAAAACAAGGGAAGATATTTGGTTACCAAACAGATTTCACCACCCACTTCTCCCATAGTTGGAAAAATCTATATTAAATAAATAAAAAGAGAGTAAATGCATTAAATCTCTGGTTTCACATTCTTTCCTTTCTGTTTAAGAGAACAAAAAAATGTATATGGATTTCTAATTATATGTGTTTATACCTTAAAGGATTACAATTTCCGATAAATATACAGCATAGCATATTGTTTTCAATCAATTTTACTCAAAACAAGAGTGTATCTTCTAAATAATATTGCAACTGCATCTGTCCATATAATAAACGATCAATGTTATCCTTCACTCAAGTCAAAACATCTCAAATCACCCCTAAGGCATCTTTCAAGTTCACTTTGTGTTTCACAGATGCAAGTGAATTACATTTAGGGTGAACTGTCCCTTTAAGTCATCTGGTGTGTTTTAAATCCTCTCCGACGTTTTTAGTTATTGATTTTATCTCTGATCGTGTGCTCAAGATAATGCGATTAAAGGTTTATTTTGAGCAAAATCCTCTTATGTGGTTGTTGTTGTCAAAATCCGGCTCCCATCTATCAAAGCACTCTACACCAAAACGAATGGAGAAAACAGCTTGCACAAAAAAATGGCAGGAGTTTTTGTGTTTATTCTAGTCACCTATCGGGTTCTGCTCGTCAATGCTTCATTTCAGTCCGCACTTGTTTTGGATATGGCTAAAATTCTGCTCGACAACTACTGCTTCCCGGAGAATCTCATCGGGATGCAGGAGGCAATCCAACAAGCTATAAACAGCGGAGAGATCCTTCACATCTCCGATCGGAAAACGCTGGCATCTGTACTGACTGCTGGCGTTCAAGGTGCACTCAATGACCCCAGACTGACGGTGTCTTACGAGCCTAATTATACTCTGATCACGCCACCTGCATTGCACTCGCTGCCTACCGAACAGCTGATACGGCTAATCAGGAGTACTGTTAAACTGGAGGTGATGGATAATAATATCGGTTACCTGAGGATTGACCGGATTATAGGTCAGGAGACGGTGGTAAAACTGGGACGCCTCCTTCACAATAACATCTGGAAGAAGGTTGCACATACGTCAGCGATGATCTTTGATTTGCGCTTCAGCACTGCTGGAGAGCTTTCCGGTCTGCCATATATCGTGTCCTATTTTTCAGATTCTGATCCACTTTTGCATATCGACACAATTTATGAGAGACCCACCAATATTACGAGGGAGTTATGGACACTGCCGACTCTCCTGGGGGAGAGATTCGGGAAACGCAAGGATTTGATTGTTTTAATCAGCAAGCGCACGATTGGTGCTGCTGAAGGGGTTGCTTATATCTTAAAACATCTAAAGCGAGCTGTGATTATTGGAGAAAGGTCGGCTGGGGGGTCGGTTAGGGTTGATAAGTTAAAGATAGGGGACTCTGGGTTTTATATTACAGTCCCTGTTGCTAGATCTGTGAACCCTGTTACGGGGCAAAGCTGGGAGGTGAGTGGAGTGGCTCCATCAGTCACGGTCAACCCAAAGGAAAGCATTGCTAAAGCTAAATCTCTCATTTCTGTCAGGAAGACAATCCCAAAAGCTGTTAGAAGAGTGTCTGATATAATTAAGCGATATTATTCGTTTAAAGATAAAATCCCGGCTTTGCTAAATCAACTAGCCAAAGCTGACTATTTCACAGTGGTCTCTGAGGAGGATTTGGCGGGAAAACTTAATCATGAGATGCAGTCAGTCTTTGAAGACCCTCGGTTGCTTATTAAAGCAACGCAAGTATTGACAGACGATGCATCTTCTGAGGATCGATCATCTTCGGATGATCTCACTGATCCATTATTCAAGTTAGAAATGATTTCCGGAAACAATGGATATCTGCGCTTTGACAGGTTCCCTACACCTGAGGTTTTGTTAAGACTGGAGGATCATATCAAAAAGAAGATCTGGCAACCAGTCCAAGAGACAGAGAATCTTGTTATTGATCTGCGATTTAACACTGGTGGATCCACCGAGGCATTGCCGATATTGCTTTCCTACATGTTCGACACATCATCGAGTACCTACCTCTTTTCAATTTACGACAGCATCAAAAACACGACCTTCGATTTTCACACCCTCAATAACATCAGTGGACCATCCTATGGCTCCACAAAGGGTGTTTATGTTTTAACAAGCTATTACACAGCAGAAGCAGGAGAGGAGTTTGCTTACCTAATGCAGTCCTTGCACAGAGGAACCGTTATTGGGGAAATCACCTCAGGAATGCTCCTACACTCCAAGACTTTTCAGATTGAACAAACAAGCCTTGCCATCACAGTCCCAATCATAAATTTCATTGATGTAAATGGGGAGTGCTGGCTTGGAGGCGGCGTCGTTCCTGATGCCATCGTGCTCGCTGAAGAAGCACTCGAGCGAGCTCATGAAATCATTGCCTTTCACAAGAATATTCAGGGATTGGTGCAAGAAGCTGGAGATCTCTTGGAAAAACATTACAGTGTGCCTGAGGTTGCAGCTAAAGTGAGTAGACTGTTGCAGTCTAAACTAACCGAGGGACTGTACCGCTCTGTTGTCGACTATGAATCTCTTGCATCTCAGCTCACTTCAGATCTCCAAGAGACCTCGGGTGATCAGAGACTGCATATTTTTTACTGTGAAACTGAGCCGGAAACTCTTCATGATACTCCTAAAATCCCTTCCCCTGAAGAGGCAGGGTTCATCGTTGAGGCCTTGTTCAAAGTAGATGTGATGTCTGGAAATATTGGCTATTTGAGATTCGACATGATGGAAGACATAAAGGTTCTGCAAGCAATTAATCCCGAGTTCCTCAAAGTCGTATGGAACAAGCTGGTGAACACAGACATGCTCATAATTGACGTGAGATATAACACCGGCGGATACTCTACAGCTATTCCTCTACTTTGCACCTATTTTTTTGATGCACAACCGCTGACACACATTTACACCCTTTTTGACCGCTCCACAGCAACTGTGACCAAAGTTACGACTCTTCCAGATGTGCTTGGACAGAAGTACAGCTCTCAGAAAGATGTTTATATTTTGACAAGTCACATAACTGGATCAGCCGCTGAGGCATTTACTAGAACAATGAAAGACCTGAAAAGGGCCACTGTAATCGGAGAGCCCACAATTGGAGGTGCTCTCTCGAGTGGAACTTACCAAATCGGGAATAGCATCCTTTATGCTTCGATTCCCAATCAGGCAGTTCTGAATGCAGTTACTGGAAAACCATGGAGCATTTCAGGAGTTGAACCACATATAGTAGCTCAAGCAAGTGATGCACTTATTGTTGCACAGAAAATCATAGCCACTAAACAACAAAAGAAAAACTCAGGAAAATAGAGCAGAGTGGACTCCTTATTTGTGATTTTAACAGCTATAACCAAAATTCCATACGCTATAACCAAAATTTCTGCTGTGGTCACTTAAAAAAACAAAAAAAAAAAAACGAAAGGTTATTTTATAAACATTTTATTTTCCTCTACATCATAAACCATATCTGTCAACATTTGTCCCTGAAAATCTGGGAGACCGGGGGGTTAGGTTCGGGGGTGAGGTGTCTGAATAAAACTGTTGAGAACCGGGTACTGTGTACTGTGTTGTTAGTAACTGTACCAACCCAGGCTCATTCTGAAAACGTAGTCCCGCGGATGTTTCCGGAAACATGTCCCGTTAGGTACGTATTTTTGCAGTTTTTGTTTTCGTGAATCTGCGAGAGGCCGTTGTGTGTGCTTTTTCGCATCTAAAATGCCTCATGCAAGTGCCCTTCTCGCGTGAACCCACCGGAGGCTGCTGTCAACCGACTAAATGATTGACTGGGCAACCGGCTAATCGACCGACCCACCCTCCTCCTTTCTTAAACCCAACCAATTTTACAGATTGACCCACCCGAAAATTAACCACATTTTCGGATTTTACCACATTCTCACCCTGTTGTTCACTCATTCGTTTTAGTTTTGGATTCTGTTTATGTCTTACCTGATTTCAGAAACCGCTTTTTCCTGCACTCGAACCCAGTTGTCATGTGGTCACCTTTTCACTGCGCCTCAAGTCCTCCGACGTACACGACGAGCTAACTGGACAAACTGGTTGTGGCGGGAAAGCAGGTAAGCAGTCAGCCGGTAAGCGCCTAAATGAACAGCGTCATATCGTCCTGTAGCGTTTTATTTTATTTTTTTAAATGTAGCCATACGTACCTCAGACTATTCGTTTTCAGAATGAGCCTGTGTTGAACTGTACTATGAAGCGTGTTTCGGGTGGCCGCTGCGATCGGATCCTATACCAATTTTGGCAACCCGGGGGTTTCACAGACTGTACCAAAATGCTAAGGACCGGGAGAGTGGGGGTGGATGGTTGGGGGATGGTTGAAATTATGGGAGTTTTCCAGGTGAACTAACAAAATGGGAGGGTGGTGGGAGATGGATATGGGTATGAAATACGCAAGACTCCCGGAAAAATTGAGAGTGTTGGCAGGTATGTCAAACTATACACCATATAAATGTGGTCATGTCACTGGCTCATGGAGATTTCCTGCTGGTTATGAAACTATTTCATAACTGTAACAAGAGGCAATTCAATCATAACTTCATGTTAAACAGTTGTTCCAATATTTATCAATATGTGGCTCTTTATAAATTCTCTGAAGCTATGGAATTAAAAAAATGTAAAACAGGACATTTGTTGGGACCATTGTCTTTGTTTACACCCCTTAAAATGGTCTATAAAAAAATTAAACCATTACAAAAAGCGTTTTTCTAAATGTACAGAATTTATTTTTATGAAGTACAACATTAACATTTAATATGCAACACATTTTTAGCTTGTTATTGTCTGACTAGAGAACGTTAGCTAATGAGATTAAGGTTTTATTGTGAGCAAAAGCTTCTTATGCATGTGTTAACAGAAACCCGACGGTCGAAGCAGACTCAGTTGGCAAACCTCTCTTCAGAGGGAGAGTTCAGCTCCGCTGTAATAGCAGGAACCAGAAACAGACCGAAATGGCTCAAGCTCTAGTCCTGCTAGTGTCGTTGCTGTTCTTCAGTAATGTGGCGCACTGTAACTTCTCTCCCACACTTATTGCGGACATGGCAAAAATATTCATGGACAACTACTGCTCGCCAGAAAAACTCACCGGGATGGAAGAAGCCATAGATGCTGCAAGCAGCAACACAGAGATCCTCAGTATTTCAGATCCCACCATGCTTGCCAACGTTCTGACTGATGGGGTTAAAAAAACAATCAGCGATTCCAGAGTGAAAGTCACATACGAGCCAGATTTGATTCTTGCGGCACCTCCAGCCATGCCCGACATCCCTCTGGAGCATCTGGCCGCAATGATCAAAGGCACAGTCAAAGTGGAGATCCTGGAAGGCAACATTGGCTACCTGAAGATTCAGCACATCATTGGGGAGGAGATGGCTCAGAAAGTGGGACCTCTTTTGCTGGAGTACATCTGGGATAAAATCCTCCCGACCTCTGCCATGATTCTGGACTTCCGTAGTACGGTTACCGGCGAGCTATCTGGAATCCCATACATTGTGTCCTACTTCACTGATCCTGAGCCTCTGATCCATATCGATTCTGTGTACGATCGCACTGCTGATCTCACTATAGAGCTGTGGTCAATGCCAACCTTGTTGGGAAAGAGATACGGCACCTCCAAACCACTGATCATCCTAACAAGCAAGGACACTCTTGGGATCGCAGAAGATGTTGCGTATTGTCTTAAAAACCTTAAAAGGGCTACCATCGTTGGGGAGAACACTGCTGGGGGAACTGTGAAAATGAGCAAAATGAAGGTGGGCGATACTGACTTCTATGTGACTGTGCCTGTTGCCAAGTCTATCAACCCAATCACTGGTAAAAGCTGGGAAATCAATGGAGTTGCTCCAGATGTCGACGTTGCTGCAGAAGATGCCCTTGACGCTGCAATTGCAATCATTAAACTTCGTGCAGAAATTCCAGCATTGGCTCAGGCAGCCGCCACGCTGATTGCAGACAACTATGCATTTCCGAGCATCGGGGAACATGTCGCGGAGAAGCTGGAAGCTGTTGTGGCCGGTGGAGAATACAACCTGATCTCCACAAAAGAAGACTTGGAAGAAAGACTATCCGAGGATCTCCTAAAACTGTCAGAGGATAAGTGTCTGAAGACCACCAGCAACATCCCTGCTCTTCCTCCAATGGTAAGATTTCTTTTCATGCATTTTATAAGAAACTTTAGGTTTTGAGACAAGCTTACGAATGTTCCTTTAACTTCCAGAATCCCACACCCGAGATGTTCATCGCGCTCATCAAAAGTTCCTTCCAAACTGATGTTTTTGAAAACAACATTGGCTACCTTCGCTTTGACATGTTTGGGGATTTCGAGCATGTTGCGACCATTGCTCAGATCATAGTGGAACATGTCTGGAACAAAGTGGTGGACACTGACGCACTGATCATTGATCTGAGGTGATTATTCAATTATTTGTCTCTCTACTCTTCCAACATAACTGCTAGTCCACTACTGGCTATAATTTGATCTGACAACTGGTATTTTATTTTCGTTGATTTCTAGAAATAACATCGGTGGGCATGCCTCCTCCATTGCTGGCTTTTGCTCCTATTTCTTTGATGCTGACAAGCAAATTGTTTTAGACCACATCTATGACAGACCCTCCAATACCACACGAGATCTTCAGACCCTTGAACAGCTCACAGGTACATTATTGCTGTATTATTTTATCATTTCACTGATTACGTAGGCCAATTTTAAAATAGTTCTGGCTTGTTGGATCACTGTCTACAAAATATTTCCATAATTTAAACATTACAAATTTAAAGTGGATCAAAAGTTGTCCTGAAACCAAAATGAAAATTGAACAATGATTTTTTACAAAGAGATTTTAATTACACTTTTAACCCAATGGTTGGTTTTGTTCATATTTGACTCAACGTTGAGTTACAACCCAGCATTTTTTAGAGAATACATATTGCGATGCATATTGTTATAGATACATTTCATATCCCAAAATTATGCATTAAATTCTACTTTTTCTAGGCATTCAATACATGCACTATCAATATTTATATAATGATTACTATCATTATACATTCTGTTCATTTATCATTCATTAATTACATAATGACTATACGTTTACCCACTTCTAATGTTGACTAAACCAATGTTGGTTAATTTTTTCAATTAGATTTCAATTATCTTTTAACCCAATAGTTGTTTGTCCATATTTGACCCAATGTTGGGTTACAATAACCCAGCATTTTCTAGAGTGTATATATTGCAATATATTGTTGTAGATATATTCACAAAATTATACATTAAATTCCACTTTATCTAGGCAGGGGGATAAGGCTATACTGTATATTAGTTTATCCACTTCAAATGTTGACTACAATAATGTTGGGTTGATTTTTTTTTCACAAGTAGATTTCAAGTAACTTGACCTCAATGGTTGGGTTTGTCCATATTTGACCCAATTTTTTATATATATATATATATATATATATATATATAATATTGCTATTATTATAAATTGTGTTCATTTATTAATTAAAGAATGACTATCTATGTTTATCCACTTTAAATGTTGACTATAATAATGTAGTCATAAACCAATGTTTGGTTCATTTTTTCAATTAGATTTCAAATTACTTTTTACCCAATGATTGGGTTTTGTTCATATTTGACCCAACGCTAAGTTACAACATCCTATAGTGTATAGATTGCAATGCATATTGTTGTAGATATATTTCATATCACAAAATGAGCTAAATTCTACTATTTCTAGCCAGGAGATACGGCAATACATGTTTACCCATGTCATGAACCAATGTTGGGTTGATTTTTTCCCCAAGTAGATTTCAATTAACTTTTTTTTTTAACTCAATGGTTGGGTTTGTCCATATTTGACCCAAATGTTGGGATACAACAACTCAGCATATCTTAGAGTGTGTGTGTGTGTGTGTATATATATATATATGTATATATTTTAAGCCAGAATTATTAGCCCCCCTTTGACTTTTTTTTTATATTTTCCAAATGATGTTTACCAGGGGAAGATAATTTTCACAGTATGTTTGACGATGTTTTTTCTTCTGGATTAAGTCTTATTAGTTTTATTTCGGCTAGACTAAAAGCAGTTTTTAATTTTCCAAACACTATTTTAAGGTCAAATTATTAGCCCCTTTATGCGATAATTATTTTTCGATAGTCTACAGAACAAATCATCATTATACAATAACTTGCCTAATTATCCTAACCTGCCTAGTTAACCTAATTAATCTAGTTAAACCTTTAAATGTCACTTTAAGCTGTGTAGAAGAGTCTTGAAAAATAACTAGTCAAATTTATTTACTGTCATCATGGCAAAGATAAAATATATCAGTTATTAGAAATGAGTTATTAAAAGTATTATGCTTAGAAAAGGGTTAAAAAAGTATTTTCTCCGTTAAACAGAAATTGGGGAAAAAATAAACGGGGGCTAATAAAAAACATTGCATTAAATTCTACATTTTTTAGGCATACAATGCAAACCATATTTATAAAATTATTACTATTATTAAAATTGTTTTCATTTATTAATTATAGAATGACTACATGCGTTTATCCACTTTAAATGTTGACAATAGTAATGTTGTTAGAAACCAATGTTGGATTCATTTGTTCAATTAGATTTCAATTTACTTTTAACACAATGGTTGGGTTGGTCCATATTTGACTCAACAGTGAGTTACAACAACCCAGCATTTTTAGAATGTAAATATTGATGCATTTTGTTATAGATTGATTCATTAAAATATACTCTTTCCACATAGGAGATACAGCAATATATATGTTTATCCAATTCGAATGTTGACTATAATAATGTCATAATCCAATTTTGGGTTGATTTTTTTTCCCCAAGTAGATTTCAATAAACTTTCTCAATAGGTGAGTTTGTTCATATTTGACCCAGCACTGGATTATGACAACCCAGCCTAATTATATTACAGAATTATACATTAAATTCTACGTCATCTAGGCAGGAGATATGGCTATATATACTGTGAGTTTATCCTCTTCAAATGTTGACTATAATAACATCATAAACCAATGTTGGGTAGATCTTTTCCCCAAGTAGTTTTCGATTACACTTTTAACCCAATAGTTGGTTTTGTATATATTTGACCCAACATTGCATATTTTTGTAGATATATTTCATATTACAAAACTGATGCATTAAATTCCACTTTTCTCTAGGCAGGAGATATGGCAGCAAGAAAAGTGTGGTAATCCTCACCAGTGGTGTGACCGCCGGTGCCGCTGAAGAGTTTGTTTTCATCATGAAGAGGTTGGGACGTGCAATGATAATTGGCGAGACGACCCATGGAGGCTGTCAACCTCCGGAAACCTTCGCTGTGGGCGAAAGCGACATCTTCCTTTCTATTCCAATCAGCCATTCAGACACTGCTCAGGGTCCATCTTGGGAGGGTGCTGGCATTGCTCCTCATATCCCAGTGCCCGCTGGTGCCGCCCTCGACACAGCAAAGGGCATGCTCAACAAGCATTTTTCCGGCCAAAAATAAGTTGTTCATCTGGGCCTGGAACGGAAGCCAAATGATATAGTGAATTTAGATTGATGGCATATCATGAAGAGGCTGTTATAATGTGTGTAGACCAATAAGGTGATGTTTAGAAGACACAGTCAAGCCTTCAGTTCTATTTCTCCATTATTTCTTAAGTGTTCAATCTAAAGTCTGCAATCTCTGAGAAACAGTCAGTAAAGGAGAACGCAAATAATCTCAGTGATCACTTAGAATAGGCCTGTTCTGAACTTGATATACTGTATAAATACCAGTGTTGGGAACTATTCCTTATGCACATTAAAACTCATTTATGCTCATCTGTACAGTACAAGCATATCAACACACTTGTTTCAAATGTAACTCGAAGCTTTGCAGTATATATTTTTGGGAAAACTGTAAGACTGTGGAGTTATATTGAAACTAAATTATGAAGCGTAATAAATTCCACATGGTAACTGTTTTAATTGCGCTGGTATTTTTTAAAGATTATAGCTGCGGTTACACTTGACTTTTCTCCCTATAGACATGTTTCGCAGGTTGCTGCGGTGCAAAGTTCAAGCTTGGTGAACTCTGACCTGCGAAATCGCATCACTTGACTGCGTGAGATCAATCGAGGATCAAAACATGACCTCTCTGGACAGAAATTGAAAACATGGAGCAATTGGAAGACATATGCAAAAACAGTGTACATATTTGGTACACTGAAAACCCTAATAAGTTGATTGAACCTAAATTGAGTAAACTCACTGCCTCAATTTAATTGAGTAATGGAGTCTCCCAATATTTGCATATTCAAATTTAACTATAATTAAACTAAAAAAGTAGTTCACCAAACTTAGTACTAGTATGCAAGTTTGGGAAACTCCATTTCTCAATTAAATTGAGGCAACGAGTTTACTCTTAGTTCAGTCAAATTAGGGTTCAGTGTGTGCGCATATATATTGCCTGTATGAAGTGTAGAAGAATGACCAGTCTGTCAGATGAAGAAGAGCCAAAGTCAGAAATTCAAATAAATAAGTTTATTTGCAGTTTCATGAGCAGAAGCCAGCTTCAACAAAATCGCAAGGAGTTCCCAGGCCGCTCTGACTTTCAGTACAACAATTCAGCAATACACGCAAGTCAAGAAAAGGTGGGATCCAGGTAGAGGAGTTCTCATTGGTTTAAGGAAAAAAAAAAAAAAAAGACAATTCTTAATGTGCATAAATGAAGGATTGTACCCAACTGCAGATATGGATGGCATCATGGTTCTTGGGGGTCAGGCTCCAACTTGAAAAAAGCTGAACCATGGGAGGCATACATGGGCGCAAGAGACAATCTGTTGTAGAACTCAAGGTTATTTATTGTACGTTCAGCTGCCTTAAACTAGCTCAAAACTGACTAGGCCCACTAGAAATCTGTGTGCAGAAAACTGCAGTCTGTTATTCCAGCAAGTCCTTTTATTTTTTTATTAGTTTAGCTCAGTAATAGACACATGCAAGTGTTGAATTTAGTTATGATCTGTACTTATTTGCATCAGTAATGGTCTCATATAACCCATGAGAGACTTGCGCTGTTTACCAAAAAATGGATGCATTTAAACTGTTTATGAGTTTAGTTACTCTAATCCCAAAAGCATTCCACATAAGCGTGCAGATTTGACCAAATTCTGTGCAGAAATGGCAGCAAATGTCTGCAGTTTCTGTCTGGTCCTGGTCATGACTTCTACAGCATCTGCTTCACTGCTTCAAGCTAGGAATGATTGAGCTAAGAGTTACGCGTAAACCATTATGACCCTTTTTCTCCTACTCTCAAGGTGTCCGTTACGGCCCAAAACTCAAAACTGGCACAAGTAATAACAAACCGGAGCACCTGGATGAAACCCACGCAAACGCAGGTGAATGCATGTATAATCGATGATTGACAGACGCATACCGTACAATAAACTGATCGCAGTTAAAAAGGGACACCTCTTTTATTAAACAAGCGAGCAGCAAATGAAGTTTTGTTTTGTTTGATAACGGAGGTGTCTCTGTAAGAATGCACAGATCTATAATGAATGCATTCCATTACTTTAGAAACTGTTTGTGCTCATTTAAGAGAAAATGAGCAGTTAAAAAATAAAACACGCAGGACGGAAATATTATTCCACACAGTGGAATAATCTATACTACTATATCTGTAGTAAATCCCCTAACCATTTACTGGAATCTTAATACTAATCTTAATACTTATTTCTGCCTTGCTTTGTGCGTTTTGCTTCTGTCGATGTAATTCACAGATGATCCTCTAAACTGTGAGCATGAATGTCCGGTAATTATCAAACCTAAAACCAACTTTACCGAGCTGCTGAGGCAAGTTGGAGTTAAACAGGACACCAGCCATCCAGGACTGAGTTCGGGCCTAAACACGTTTCTTTCAGAAATTAGAAAGTTAGCAACACACACCAGAAGATGGCGGCATATCTTCTTTAACCAACAACGTGTAAAACATTTAAACTTTCAAGCACATCCACTAAAATTACAACCATGTAGCACCTGATGCTTAATGTAATGACAAGTCAATACCACACACACTATTCACTAGTCTGTCAAATTTGACTTAAAATAAATATTGACTGCTTTATAAAACTTCGGCCCTGCTGATAAATCCAGCTTAAACCAGCCTAGGTTGGTTGTCTTGTTTTAGCGGGTCAACCAGCCTGGTTTTAGAGAGGTTTTGGCCATTTCCAGGCCAGTTTCCAGACATTTTCAGCCTGGTCTCAGCTCAGGCTGGAAATGACCAGCTAAATCCAGCTTGGCCAGCCTGGTTTAAACTGGATATAGGCTAGTCAAGCTAATTTTAGCTGGTCATCTCCCAACCTGGCCAGCTAAGACCAGGCTGGAAAAGAATGGAAACCAGCCTGGAATGGCCAAAATCCCTCTAAAACCAGTCTGGTCAACCAGCTAAAATTTAAGCTGTTTTTTACAGTAGGATGCCATCATAAGTCTGGTTTTCAGTCATGTTTTGGTCGAATATTAGTTGATACAAAAAACTTAGTGCAGCTAGTATGGCAGTAAAATATGTACGAAATCCACAAATATTTCAAGATTCAATAAGATGCTTCAACGGACATGAAACTAATTCAGTTTTTGACATTTCTGTAGCTCAACGTAGGCTTAGTTTTCGTACAAATTCCTAGCGTATGTTCTTTGTTTATTTTAGTTCTTACCTTAGCATCTGTATTGCGCGTCAACAACACGAGCAAAGGGCATTCGACTGCGGGCTTTAAACAACAGGTGCGTTCGACAACAAGCACAGCTGCAGCCGGTAATCAACGAGATTAGCCGGGCGGGGGCGGAGTTGAAAACGGAGCCGTCAAGGCGGACAGCAGGACACTTCGGGGCTCAAAGTTGCTTTTTTTTATTTTTATTTTTTTTATTATTGAATAGAATAATAACATCACTGCATTGAAGAAAAAATACAATAACAAAAAATAAGAAAGAAGACAGAGAGAGAAAAAAATACACAGCCTCAATCATTAAGAAAAAAGATTGTCATTAGCTTTAAGAAACTTATTATTATTATTATTATTATTATTAATATTAAGCTTAAGAGATTCAATATTGGACGAAATTTCAACAAGGAAAGTATTAAAAATAGGTATTGTTTTTAGAAACTTATTTTTGTGTATAAAAAATTTACAGTGTAACAAAAAGCATGATCATCATCCGAGAAATACAGAAATATATCTTTTATAGACAAATTTAAATCATGTTTAAATAAGGATGATGAATAAAAAATAATGTCATTCCAAAGATGTTTCATGTGAGTGCAACTATAGAATAAGTGAAATAAAGTCTCTTCATGTAGTTTGCAGAAAGTACACAAATTAGATATATCACAATAATTAGCAATTTGGGAATTTGTAGGATAAACATTATGCAAGATCTTAAAATGTATCTCTCTTATTTTGCTGGATAAGCTGAATTTTTCAGATAATAACTATGCTCTCTTCCATTGAATGCAGTCAGAGAAGTTGGTCCGAAAAAATGTACATCTTGGGGTGGTATATACGGGGTTTAAAGTTGCTGCAGTCATGATGATCGATCACATGGCGTCATCATCATTTTTAAAAAAAATGTATTTTATTTATTACAACAAAAGATTTACAAATAAAACAGAATACAGTCTCTACAAACTGCAGTTCATTTTTAAACAATAAGGGAATTATGAATTAAATATATTACAAATGCATGAGAGAAATAAGGGGAAACGAGAGAGCCGCTGCTGAAAAATCCAGCTTAAACCAGCCTAGGCTGGTTGGCTGGTTTTAGCTGGTCGACCAGCCTGGTTTTAGAGGGGTTTTGGCCATTTCCAGGCTGGTTTCCAGCCATTTCCAGCCTGTTCTTAGCTTCAGGCTGGAAAATGACCAGCTAAATCCAGCTAAAACCAGCTTGACCAGCCTGGTTTAAGCTGGACATAACTGGTTTTGGCTGGGCTCTCCGCCTGGCTAGGCTGGTTTTAGCTGGTCATCTCCCAGCCTGACCAGCTAACACCAGGCTGGAAATGGCTGGAAACCAGTCTAGAAATGGCCAAAACTCCTCTTAAACCAGCCTGGTCAACCAGCTAAAACCAACCAACCAGCTTAGGCTGGTTTAAGCTGGATTTTTCAGTAAACATAAAAGCAAACAGGTCTATTAAACACAAAGCAAGCACAAATTCTAAGAGTTTAAACATCACTCGAGGCCAATACTTCTTGTTTGAATATGCTAAAAGGGCTTTACATTTATTTACATTTATAGATGTAAAATTTTACGATATATTAATGTAAAACCCAAAACAAGGTGTTTAGATTAAGTCTTAAACAATGATTAAGATTATTTTGGATAATGAAAGCATTTTTAAAAAAGCACTTTAATCTGAAAAGATTGAACAAAAGGACATTCCTAAAATAAGCGAGCTACTGTACACTTTAAGTAGAAGTTTCCCACAAAGACCAGGTATAAACAGCTTATAGACAGGACATATTTTTATTTTATAATCCTAAAAATAATTTTATAATTATTTAATAAAATAGTTCTTTAACTTAATTTGTTAAGAAATCTTCAGGGTGTCAGGATCAATGATGATAATTATTTTATTTCAAGTCTGTAAGATTTAGTTGAGTTAATATTTAGGTTATTTACTAAATTATATCATTTAAATCGTTTATAGAGCTGAATAAAGTAAAGTAGTCTGTATAAAAAAGGTTGAAAATAAACCTAAGCAAACAAGCCAGCCTTTATAACCAGATTATTTAACAATAAAATGATTACTGCAGTAAAATATTTGTAGTGTTTTTATAAGCATCATGTGTACAAGATAGAGAGGGTATGAAAAGTGAATTGTTTGTTTTGAAATTTGTGAGATGGAAGTTCATTCATTTTCTTGTCGGCTTAGTCCCTTTATTAATCCGGGGTCGCCACAGCGGAATGAACCGCCAACTTATCCATCACGTTTTTACGCAGTGGATGCCCTTCCAGCCGCAACCCATCTCTGGGAAATATCCACACACACACTCATACACTACAGACAATTTAGCCTACCCAATTCACCTGTACCGCATGTCTTTGGACTGTGGGGGAAACCGGAGCACCCGGAGAAAACCCACGCGAACGCAGGGAGAACATGCAAACTCCACACAGAAACGCCAACTGAGCCGAGAATCGACCCAGCGACCTTTTTGCTGTGAGGCAACAGCACCACCTACTGCGCCAACTTATCCAGCACATCTTTTACGCAGCGGATGCCCTTCCAGCCACAACCCATCTCTGGGAAACATCCACACACACACACTCATACACTATGGACAATTTAGCCTACCCAATTCACCTGTACCGCATGTCTTTGGACTGTGGGGGAAACCGGAGCACCCGGGGGAAATCCACGCAAATGCAGAGAGAACATTCAAACTCCACACAGAAACGCCAAATGAGCTGAGGTCCAAACCAGCGACCCAGCGACCTTCTTGCTGTGAGGCGACAGCACTACCTACTGCGCCACTGCGTAGCCTGTGAGATGGAAGTTGTCCAATAATAAACCTGAAACACAAGTGGTTGTTGTCATGCGTTGAACTCAGCCAATCGTGTAATATCGATGTCGTCCTCAGAGCTTGTGTAGTCACTCTTCAGATGCTGCACTGGCTGAATCAGTCATCTGATCTCAGTGCAGTTTTATGCCACTTGTGAAAGCATCACATGTAGCATAAATCCGGCGCAGCATCAATCCTAACAAAATATCTAACCAGCATTTAGAAGACAGAAGACCAACCTTTAAGACGATCGATCTGTGCAGCTCTGCATGAAGTCGAACGCACCAAATGTAACCCCAGCGGTCATACACCACCCAACCCACTGCGAGCTGGGATTGAACATGCGACCCTCTGCATGGTAGTCGGTTACTCTAAGAAGGAGGCTAAAGACCATGGCCTCTAGCATCTGTCGCTAGAACACCTTTAGAGGTCAGAAGAGTGAGGTTTACCTGCACAGCACTTACTAGCTAGCCTCCGTTACACTCACTACCCTAAACCTCACTCTCATCCAGGTCTAATTTCTTTAGATTGTTTGACTATTCTAAAGAAAACTTGAAAAAAGTGTATATAATTGTATTCTATTAGCCAAGTTTCATATTCACAAACTGAAGTTTAGTGGCTCTAAACCTTTCTTTGATCTTTTCAAAAGTTTAGTGGCTAATTCATACGAATTCGTACGAGTTCAGTCGTACGAAATTGTACGATTTTAAAAAGGTGGCGTGGCACCTAACCCCACCGTCATTGGCGGATGAGCAAATCGTACTAAAATGTATGAATTAGATCGTACAAATTCGTACGAATTGCTGTGAGATTGTGTTGTCATTATATTTTTGTTACCCCGGTGTTTGTTTGTTTTTATGTTTATTTCTGTGCACGTTTTCATTTATTTGTATTATTTGTCTCTATGTATGTATTTGCTTTTGATCTACATCTTTAATAAAAAAATAAATATAAATAAATACATTCCTTTTGTGCTTAAATGTATATATACCGCCTACTAGTGGTGATGTAACGATACAAACTGGGAAGAAATTAATTTGTGTAAATATATTTTATCAATGAATCCTAAAAATGCATTTAAAATTTGCATAAATCGACAATTCTTATAAATGCTTTTTAAAATACTATTATTTACCAGTTCACTAGTTAATAAATGACCCAATACTGTGTTTTTCTATAACTTTAATTGTATATTTTCCAAGTTTATCAGTTCGCTAGTAAATAAATGACCCAATACTGTGCTTTTCTACAACCATAGGTAGGCCAACTATTTTAGTTAATATTTCAGTATGCTGTAGCATTAGTAAACAAAGGGTTGTAATTACTGAAAACAGTATAATATGGTAGAAACACTATAAACTATGTGTGCATATCATGCATAAAAGTTCTGGAAAATGGTAAAAATAAAATAGTTCATAAAATGTTTGATGTTGTTTTTTATTTCACAGGACCCCCCAAAACATCCCCCAAAATCTATTATTTTGCATATTCAAGAGAAGGGAGGAAACCTTCAAGAAGCAGGAGAAGAAACTGACCCAATTTTTTTCTTCATGGGTAGAAATATGACACCAGCTCCTCTTCTGCCAGCTCTCAGCCTGGGCTCTTTTCTCAAACGACTCCGTCTTTGCTGTGCACATTTACACCAAATGCCAAGCGCTTGAACAAAACACACATCTGGCTCTTTTTACACGTGGATTTTTCCTGCAGCAACAAGTTCTTCACAATTCCCCAAAACAACAAACCGGCGAGTGTTTTATAGCGTAAAGAAAACTAAACAGACACTTGGAGTTTTTTAAACTTGTTTTTTTTTCACCCTGGACGTCGGCTTTGTATTCAGTACACATTGGAAATAGTTGTATTTATCATCATCCCGTTTGGACTTCAGACTGATGTGTGAGTAAAGACTGCGTCAACATCCGCTAAACTTCTCTTCTTTGTGTGCATCCTTCCCTCAGGATCTCTGAAAAGGCTCTTCTTTCAAGGCTCGACTTTGGGGATAATGTAAATAGCCGTTTCCAAACTAAGGATTGATGTTTTTGCAATAAGAAAGCAATGGCACGTTCGGTAGTAAAATTGTGTCTAGTCGTATTTTTCTTTGGACTTTTGTTGTTCACGCTTCCATCCGCGAGAGCCGAAGAAGATGTGGAGGAGGAGAGATCATGTCAGGGCGCTTTTGACTTGTATTTCGTCCTTGACAAGTAAGTTTAATGAAATCCTTCTGCTCTGTCTTTTGTGAACAAAGAACTTCAGCACTCTTTAATCCGCTTCCATTCTCTCCAAACTTAAAGGAAAGTTATATATTAATCCTCTCAGTCTTAAAGGGGCAGTTCGCTAAAAAAAAAATTCTAAAGAAAGCTGAAAGCTATTTACGTCTATAGAAGGAAAAAACAAATGTAAGTCAATGGTTACACGTTTTCAACATTCTGCAAAAGAAAGTCAAACCAGTTACCAACAAGAAAAGGATGAATGATGACTAAAGATATTTTGAACAAACAATTACTATGGAAGTCGATGGTTACAGGTTTCCAACATTTTATAAATATCTTCGGTCATCATTTACTCATCCTTTACTTGTTACAAACTAGTTTGACTTTCTTTTCTTCTGACGAACACAAAGGAAGATATTTTCAAGGATGTTGGAAACCCATTGACTTACATTTGTTTTTCCTTCGGAAGTCAATGGTTACAGGTTTCCAACATTCTTTAAATTATTTTTGGTTATCATTTACTCATCTATTGGTTCTTGGTGGTTTGACTTGCTTTTCTTCTGTTGAACACAATAAGAGATATTTTGAAGAATGTTGTTACCATTGACTTCCATAGTAAAAGACAAAACAAATGCAAGTCAATGGTTACAGGTTTTTAACATTCTTCAAAATATCTTCTTTTGTGTCCAACAGAGGTAAAGAAACTCAAGCCAATTTACAACAAGCAAAGGATGAGTAAATGGCGACTGAAGATATTTTGAAGTATGTTGTAAACCAGTAACATTTGTCTTCCATAGTAATAAAAAATATATAGTCATTGGTTACAGGTTTTCAACATTCCTCAAAATATCTCCCTTTCTCTTCGACAGAAGAAAGTCAAACCAGTTAGGAATAAGACAAGGATGAGTAAATGATGACCAAAGATATTTTGAAGAATGTTGGAAACCTGTAACCATTACATAGTAAAAAAAAAAGGTAAGTCAATGGTTACAGGTTTCTAACATTCTTTAAAATATCTTCCTTTTGTGTTTGACAGAAAAAAAAGAAAGTCAAACCAGTTTCGAACAAACGTAGGATGAGTAAATGATGACCGAAGATATTTTGAAGAATGTTGGAAACCTGTAACCATTGACTTCCATTGTAAAAAAAAAAAAAAAAGTATGTCAATAGTTACCGGTTTCCAACATTCTTCAAAATATTTCCCTTTGTGTTCAACAGAAGAAAGTCAAAACAATTTGGAACAAGTGAAGAATAAGTAAATGATGACTGAAAATATTTTGAAGAATGTTGGAAACCTGTAACAACTGACTTCCTTTAAAAAACAAAGGAAGTCAATGGTTACAGGTTTCCAACATTCTTCAAAATATCTTCCTTTGTGTTCAACAGAAGAAAGTGAAACCAGTTTGTAACAAGTGAAAGATGAGTAAATGAGGCCCGAAGATATTTTGAAGAATGTTGGAAACCTGTAACCATTAACTTCCATAGTAAAAAAAAAACAAATGTAAGTCAATGGTTACAGGTTTCCAACATTCTCTAAAACATCTTGCTTTGTGTTCGACAGAAGAAAAGCAAGTCAAACCAGTTTGCAACAAGCGAAGAATGAGTAAATGATGACAAATTTATTTTTTTGGTGTGAACTGCCCCTTTAACAGCTGTCGAACTGTATGTTATCCAGCATAAATCCGTCAATCACATATGAAGGCAACTCGATCTGTATGAAGTGCAAATGTCAGGGATGCTTTTGTGGTCTGTTGGCCTGATGTTTTTCCACACTGAGAGAAAACGGCCTGAATAAAGTAGGCCAGTACATTTCCACTCACATCCTCCTTTTTCTCCCCCAAATTTCTCACATTCCCCAACACCGAAATAGATATTCGCCAGATGTCCATTGTTTGGTATCACTCGACTGGGTTCAATCTGAGTTCAAGGGAGGCCGAGAGACAATACTATGCACAGTATACTAGACAACACAAGTCATCCAGGTTGTATTCTTTTATTGTGGCAGCTTGTTGTTTTGCGCTCTGTGTGTGAGCCGTGATGGACAGAGAGGGGTGGTACATGTAAGGTTTGCTGAATAGGCAGTTTACAGCTTCATTCCTCTGTGGTTCTCTTTTCCTGCCTCTGATCCTTCACCATTGTTTAAAAGACCCAGAAAGGCAACATCCTTTCCCATGATTTGCTTATGTGGGAAGATGCTTCACAGGATGTTTAATCAAACTGAGTATTTGTGACCCTGGACCATAAAGATCAGTCATAAGGGTCAACTTTTCGGAAATTGAGATTTATGCATAATCTCAAAGCTGAATAATAAAAAAAGCAAATGTAAGTCAATGGTTACAGGTTTCCAACATTCTTCAAAATAGATTCCATTGTGGTCAACAGAAGAAAAGAAAGTCAAACTAATTTGAAACAAGGGTGAGTAAATGATGACCGAAGATGTTTTGAAGAATGTTGGAAACCTGAAACCACTGACTTCCTTAGTAAAAAACAAAACAAATGTAAGTCCATGGTAACAGGTTTCCAACATTCTTCAAAATATCTTCCTTTGTGATCGACAGAGGAAAATAAAGTCAAACCTGTTTGCATAAAGTGTGAGTTAATGACAACCGAAGATATTTTGAAGACTGTAGGAAACCTGTAACCATTGACTTCTATAGTAAAAAACAAAACAAATGTAAGTCAATGGGTTACGGGTTTCCAACATTCTTCAAAATAGCTTCCTTTGTGGTCAACAAAAGAAAAGAAAGTCAAACTAATTTGGAACAAGGATGAGTAAATGATGACCGAAGATATTTTGAAGAATGTTGAAAACCTGTAACCATTGACTTCCATAGTAAAAAAAAAAAATGTAAGTCAATGGTTACAGGTTTCCAACATTCTCAAAAATATCTTCCTTTGTGATTGACAGAGGAAAAGAAAGTCAAACCAATTTGCAACAAGTGAAGGATGAGTAAATGATAACCGAAGATATTTTGAAGAATGCTGGAAACCTGTAACCACTGACTTCCATAGTAAAAAAAAAACAAATGTAAGTCAATGGTTACAGGTTTTTGACATTCTCCAAAATATCTACCTTTGTGTCCAACAGAAGAAAAGAAAGTCAAACTAGTTTGCAACAAGTGAATGATGTGTAAATGACAATCGAAGATATTTAGAAGAATGTTGAAAACCTGTAATCATTAGTAAAAAACAATACAAATGTAAGTCAATGGTTACAAGTTTTTTTAACATTCTTCAAAATATCTTCCTTTGTGTTCGACAGAGGAAAATAAAGTCAAACCTGTTTGCATAAAGGGTGAGTTAATGACAACCGAAGATATTTTGAAGACTGTAGGAAACCTGTAACCATTGACTTCTATAGTAAAAAACAAAACAAATGTAAGTCAATGGGTTACGGGTTTCCAACATTCTTCAAAATATCTCCCTTTGTGTCCAACAGAAGAAAACAAAGTCATCCAATTTGTCACAAGTTAAGGATGAGTAAATGATGACCGAAGATATTTTGAAGAATGTTGAAAACCTGTAACCATTGACTTCCATAGTAAAAAAACCTGCTGGATAAATTGGCGGTTCATTCCGCTGTGGCGACCCCTGAATTAATAAAGGGACTAAGCCGATAAGAAAATGAATTTTAAAAATTCCCTCGCGGGCCGGATGAAAGTGTTCAGCAGGCCGCATATGGCCCGCGGGTCTTAGTTTGCCCACTTCAGGGTTAAAGAGAAGAGGGTGGGTGGGGGTATTAGTCGACAGCAGCCTCTGTAGGATTTATGCGAGAACAGCAGGAGCGTACAGCACTCGCTATAGAAATTTGAGATCTGAAAAAGAAAACAAAAACAGCCGAAAAAACGTAGCTGCTGGGACGTATTTCACGCTCTCCATAAATGTATACAGGGGTACGTACTGTATCAATAATAAGCCTGGGCTGAAACAATTGTACTTTGTTTACTGCAAACTCACAGACTTTTCTATTCACATGCATAACGCATATTTATTTTCCTCATCTAAAATCTAGAATGTGTTTACAGAGTGATATTTTTCTGGTCCCAGAACTCTGTGGTCAGTAGTTTTGTAAAATATAAACAGATGTTTCAATATAACGTTAACAAATAGTCTCTATGTGAGTTTATGTTTTGAGTTTTACTGCAAACGTCACATCCACAACGCTGGAACTGCCCAAGCACTGCTATCAAGAGAACAAATGCTTTAGATCATACAGGAGTGGAATGTTACATCACAGTTTTAAACATCAGGATTGCGTGATAGACCCCTGCGCTGTATGTTCAATGAATTTCATGTGTCATGCAACATTCCCTGTAACTGTTCAGCTGGCTAAAAGCTAATGCAACTCATACTTTTCCACCCGGTTTTTCTCATGATGTGATGGCAGAAGACACAGCCAACCCCAGCTCCCCCCCCCCCTAGTTTTTCTCTTCACAGACTTTGGAAAAACTGACATTTAGTAAAATCGCATGCACATGGACATCTGCAGCCCTCTGAGAACATTACAAGCCGTCAGCTTCTTCAATTTAAGTCATTTGATGTGCATTATTCAGTATTGGTATTCATTGCGTGCATGTCATTTTTGTTTGGTCATGTGCCGTCATCAGCAAGTGAGCTGAAGGAGCAGAGCATCACAAACAACACATGTATTGCACAAGTGTTTGGCTTCAGGTGCGCCATTATTGGACTTCTGAGAATGAGCTTTCCTAGATTTGTTTTTTCGAAGGAATTGTCATGTTTATCTGATCTGAAACTATTTTGTTGACATCTTACCTCGGCCTCGCAGTCCCAAATTGTCAGATTTAGGATTTAAGTTGCTTGAGGCCAATAGGAAATCATTTAATCTAAAACTACTAACTAACCACTGTAAAAAGAGATTAGGTTATTTAATTTCAAAATGGTTAACCTGTTGCCTTAAAAGAGAGAAGTTGACATTACTTAAAAAAAAAAAGTACATCTGTTGTAATTGGGAACTGTTGTGTTAACTTAAT